ATTAATGAACATGAAATGAGATCGAAAAGTCCACCTTTTTGTGGTTAGTCTCTATCTTTCTTTCAAAATTGATCATTAAAAACGATAATGCTCATATGCTAGTTTGTAAATAAGTTAACTGTTTTTATATTTTGTTTTTAATTCAGCATGAACACATCACATTTCTTACGTGTAACTTGATTGAACGGAAAGTAAAACTACCCACTCTTAAAACAAATGCTAGTGTACACTAAGCTCTGGTCGTCTTCCATCAAAATGATCCCTGCCTAAGAGACTTATAAATGCGACGCCCAAAAATGCGATGCCGATGGCACATATGGAACACCATACTTTAGATGTGACCTAGATTTATAGCGATTTGTGATAGATACCACGTGATGATAATATTACTGCACATATTATGCCTCCATTTACACAGTTTTCATAAACATCTTTCTCAATTGTTACACCCCAAAAAATGCTTGAGTATTTAATTTAGTTTGTTTGTTTATTTTGAAAAATTAAATTTGGTAGTGATATTTTTGGGGGAAACTTAGGGACTTATTTTGGTCAATTTTCCGGGGCTGACAGGAAGACAGACCGACCACCGAGTGACATGTAGAAGCTCCTGTCCTGCCAGAGCTTTAAAAATGAGCTGACGGTCTGTGATCTTTCAAAAGGATTGTGAAGTGGCCAAAAAAGAAACTCAGGAAGGTCTTAAGAGTTTTATCGTCTTGAAAGGACATGTTTACGGTTTGTCATCAAAAGCCTACCACCTGTCGTCCAGTGTTTTCACCTTGTCCAACACTAATACCCTAATCCTAAAGCATTCTTCTCTTTTGGTTGTTGGTTTAGTTCACTTCCGTGTTTTTGAGTGAGATCTTCTAATCGCCTGTAATGAGTGAAGTTGCTTCGCCGAGCGCCCGGGGCGTCAACTTTCACGGTGGCCGTAGGTCGAATGAATTGAGTCGATTACATCGGATAATCTCTTTAACTCCCACTAATCCACCCGTTGACATTATGAAGAGTCTCCCCCTCGATTTATAGTCCTCGGGTAACTTTGAAGTGTCGGTGTCCAGTGTATACAAATGGGTATTCTGTGTTCTTGTTCCTGTGCTTGGCTTCATATAAGGCATACACCCCAGTATTAAGAAAAAAACGTCCGCCGAACTCATGAATAAAAGTTATACAGGGTGTTAAAAAAGCGGAGCCCAAACTCCCAAAAATATATCTCATATTTAAAAAAAAAATTTAGAACCAAAAATAACAATGACTAGAAAGCCAATTTCATAAACCACTTTTAGATGGAAAAAATACTAAAATTGCTCAACCGTTCAAAGTATGTCACCATTTAAACGCGATGACTCTAAAACCTCTCTCGTCCAACAAAAATTCAAAAATCGTCGTCACAATATTGTTTTCAAACATCACCAGCGATAAAACCTTGGTTTAAAAGTTAAAAATATTAAACAAAGTCCCTTTGAAAGCCCCCCCCCCCTTTTTAAAGTTGATTTTATAAATCATATTGTTCGACTAAGCAGGGTTGTTAAAAAAGCTATTATGTTCTACAGTTGTTGACAGTTGTTGAAACAGTTTTCAGTGTCATTTTCTTTGTTGTTCCGAACAGTCAGAACACACAACAGGGTTCGGTTCATTGCGTTTAAATGGTGATATTCTTCGAAAGAATTGAGCAACTTCGGTAATCTTTTCATCCAAAAGTAGTTTATGAAATTAGCTTTCCAGTCATTGTTATTTTAGGTGCTATATATTTTTTTAAATATGAAATATACTTTTGGGGGTTTGGCTGCCGCTTTTTTGACTCACCCTGTACATTCAAATTATTCTGTATTACAGAGATTTGTGATCTATGGAATTAGGGAATTGAAGACATGCACTGCAGCTCTGGCCCGGACTTGGAGCTTCCAATTCTGAGCATTTTGGATGCAATTGGGTCCGAAAGTAGCGCTAATTAGCAGGTATCCTTTGTAAAATTGAGTTTGGGAAATATGATTCGTTTGGTGACTGCTCGATGTTTCGACACACCTATGTTCCGACAACCCTCATCTTCCGACTGCTCAACCTATGTTCCGACAAACCTATAGGATAGCGTTAGGATTAGTATTAGTGTAAGGGTTAGGGTTGGGGTTAGGGTATTATTTTGCAGGCCCGTAGTCCGTATCAGTGGCGTAGCACGGTCATTTTTATTGGGGGGGGGGTAAATTTTTTTGAAAAGGGCACTTGCCCCTCCGTGGTGAAATGTAGACAGGTAGACACTTGGCTTCCGTAAAATCAAAGAGCGGGGGGGGGGGGGGGGGGGGGGGGGGGGGCTGGTACCGTCTGTGGATGGGGGCGCTGTTCAAAACCGACGATTATGCACACAAACGGCCAATATATGGTGCTTTTCAGGGAGATACATGTGCGAAATTCAGAAAAAGGCACCCAAGACGGCAGATGCCACAAAAAGGGCACCACCTTTTTTTTTTACAAAGGGCACTTGTTCAGACAAAAAGGGCACTTCTTAAAAAAGGGCTCTCTTTACAAATTATTGGGGGGTAAGTCCGTTGAAAAAAAAAGGGCATTTGAATGGAAAAAGGCAGTCTTTACAAAATATGGGGGGGGGGGGTAAATACCCCCCTTTTACGAACATAGGTCTGGAGCTAGATAAGTCAACGTAAAAAAAAAAAAATCCCGGAATGTCACGCGCCAACCTATATAGCATCAACCTGTTTTCAGGTTTTTCATTTGAAAAGTGCTTCCGAGGTAATGAAAAAAAAACAATAGGAACTTAATGAATAAAAAGTGTCGGGATTTCCGTAAGTATATCGCGGGAACTTTATCGCGTAACTCGCGCATTATTTTCAGAAGGGAGGCCATTGCTTGTCAAATAGTTGCTTGTTTTATCAGTATCTTACTTCCTTTGCTGCAACCATCTTCTGACTTCCCAGCAACCCCCTTAAAATGAAAACACCTCATGCAATTTTGGAAAATTCTAAAGTAATCTCAGCCAAGCTGAATATGAGAAAGCAAAGACAGCTTTGGTAGAAGGAGAGAGAAGTGGCGAAGACACACATCCCACCTGAAGTCTTAAAGAGGTGCGGACTGGACGACACTATTCTTGGATTCTGCAATAAAGCACTCCTGACAAGGAAACATGCCCGACCAGTGGTCTGTCTTAGACATAGTCCCTATACCAAAGTCAGGCGATATAGAGGTATCAGTTTGAGCTCCGTAGTTGTAAAAACCTTCAACAGGACGATTCTCAACAGAATACTAAGACCTGAATCGAAGTTGACATCAATCTGAGAAACAAACAGAATGGCTTCAGGGTTGGAAGAACTACCGTGGGACATATACTGGCACTTCGAAGGATCATAGAAAGAGTAAGAACCAATCATCTGAGTGCAGTAACAACATTCATTGATTTCAAAAAGGCCTTGGCGCCGTCCGAGGCAAAATGTTACAGATTCTCAGTGCCCATGGAATGCCTAGTCAACTTGTAGAAACGATTGGACTGACGTATTTGCTCCGTTCATAAGTACCCCCTCACCGGCAAAGAAAGTACAGTTGGGGTGACCGAACAACGCCATCTTGGGCCAAGTTCGCGCAAGGACTATAGTTGACCATATGTTAACCATAGTTCGACTAAAGTTAGCCCGAACTCTGTCTAGTCGACGATGGTTGACTACGCTAGTCGACTATTTGGAACCAGCATACTGGGCCTGGTCGCACCGCTGATTACCAATAGCCGCGCGCATTCATAACGTACAGCAGGGAGCCAGGATCCAGAAGTTTTGCGATGACATTTTGACAAGCGTTTGACTAGAGAATTTCGCACGTTGCTATTAGTACGCAGGCTACGGTACGTCACAAATCAACCACTTGTCATCTAATCATCCTTGCCCGAACTTGGCCCTAGCTGGCGTCCTGCAGGGAGACACTCTGGCACCCTATCTGTTTGCGATTGTGCTGGACTATGCCTTGAGAATGGTAATAGACGGCAAGGAAGAAGCATTGGGATTCCACCTGGTAAAGAGGCGCAGCAGAGTCAGTAGTGACTTGGACTTTGCAGACGACATAGCTCTCTTGTCAGAGGAAATTGACCAAGCTCAGGAGCTAACTTTAAAGGATAAAACATCTGTGGAAAAAAGTCGGTCTGAAAGTGAACGCCAGAAATAAAAAAATTCATGACCTACAACCACAAGCAACCAGTCACCATCAAGACAAATAACAGTACAAAGCTTGAGCAAGTCGAAGTAGAAGACTTCAAATAACTAGGGTCATGGGTGGCTAGCACCGGAAAAGATGTCAAAGTTGGGAAAGCTGCAGCTTGGAGAGCTTGTAACAGCCTAGGTAAGATCTGGAAGTCAGCTCTACCTTAGAAATCAAACTGCGGGTCTTCAGTGCAACAGTGGAATCTGTGCTGACATACGGTTGTGAAGCTTGGACAGTCACCTCCAACATCGCTAAAGAGCTTGATGGCTGCTACATCCGTATGCTCAGGAAGGTGCTCAACATCCACTGGAAACAACACATCACAAACAAGGAGCTGTATGGAGACCTTCCAAAACTAACCGACATAATTCGCAAAAGAAGAACACGCCTCGTTGGTCACTGCTACAGGAGCAAGAACGAACCCGTAGCAAAGCTGATACAATGTAGTTTAGAAACCGAAACACGGCTGCAGGAGCAAAGGTCGACCTTCCACCACATACATCGACATACTGAAACAGGACACAGGGCTTGAAGCATCAGATCTGGGGACTGCCATGCAGGACAGGAGACTCTGGTGCACTGTCGTGACTCGGAAAGACTACCCGATATAAGTAGGTACATGTACATCTCGGGTGTATTTTGTTTTCATGAAGTGCTGGGCACCCTGTAAAACTGGAAATACATAGCAACCCAATTAGGTAAAAATTTAATTAGTACAAAAACACACACAACTATTTCAACAACGGAAAAGAAAGCGTTGGTAGGCCTACCATATTCTTCACCGCAGATTTAAGACAGACAACACAGTATTAATGTGTCAATAGATGTCTAATAAGGGACCTGGTTTATTGTTTATACTATCGCAACTCAAATAAAGCACATATGGCATTACATGTCATATCAGTCGGTTCTACACAAAGCAAACACAGTGGAAAGTTTTAGCAAAATCTAACTTCAGATATGTAGCCATGCCAACACGATACTCTGATTTTTATAAGCCTGAACTATGACCCCCAGCATAGTACCCCGGCTTCTTTCCTGTATATTGAACACAAAGTAAGTGGAGTGCCTGTCTACTGGGAAAAGGTTTGATTTCAAAACAGGTCTCGGTAAAATGTCGTCGATACCAAAAACATTTTGAGGAACACACTTGATTTGAATTGGAGTACGATTCGAACCAACTGGAGAAAACAAGAAGGATTTCATGAAAACAAATTTTCCAGGAAGTTTCAAAGTATCGAGCAGACATGTTTTGAGGTAAGTGAAGTTAGTTGCCACAAAACCACCACTAGCCTCACGAGACTGTAACATCATAACTTTCCCCTGTGTTCAAAAAATCCACAACCTAGTGTAAAAAAAGGTCCGGGATTTACAAACCTTTTTTTTTTAAACTCAACTGCAGGAAAGAAAACATAAGTTCAATTTGGCCTAATTATGGATTGCATTAAATTTTAAATACAAAACAATGGGGGGATTTGAGATCAAACGAAAAATTCCACAGTTTCAGTTTTTTTCGTCAGCTTAAAAGGCATTTACAACAAAGAGATACCTTTGATAATGCTTTGTCCATAAAGTATTTCAACTTTATAATTAAGCACGGAATGTCACGGCAAAATAACTGTGATTATTTTTGTTTAGAATCTGCTTGGAAATTACGCCAACTTCTGTCTTTTGTCATTGCTTTCTCTTATATTTTTTTTTTTTAAAGAAATGTACAAGTATTAAATATCATAAAATTGTTGGCAAATTATTTTGGTTATGATCACAAATAACAGTTCCAAACTGGACTTATTCCGTGCTTGTTCAAGAATTGTGTTTTTCTTTTTCTCCTTTAATAACAACAACAGCTAAACAGACATGAGCTCAATCGGAACTTTGAGCTAAAACATTAATGTTAAACATGAAGTGGGCTCCAAAATGGCATCGTGACAACCACGGTGGCAGATCCTTACCATTTTCACGAACTACCCATGTACACATGCAAGTCTGATCATGATTGGATAGTGCTCTTAACCAAGTTTGAACATGTCCAATCATGTGAACTGTTACAAAAGACTGACAGTCTTCAGATGGATATTGACCAATCAGATACGATTGTGTCAGCTCTCATGTGATTGGCTGAATAAAAAACAAAATTCAAGATTTAAACCAATCATTATACATTACACATATGTGAGTTTGTGCTATTTAGTTAATCATTTTGATTGGTCCGTTATCTTCATGTACGCATAATTAAGTTAAAATCCCAACCAATCATTTACAGTTTCACATAACGGTATGAGCTGTTCATGTCCAGGATGTTCGATCATTCACCCATGCTTCACTGCCAAATTTTTCCCGTACTTACACCAGACCACAAAAACGTAAAGTAACAACAGAAATTTAATTATTTTTTTTTAAAGCCAGATGCACTGTTTTATTTGGAAAATGCCGGATGTAAAACAAGATTCAAACTTATTCAGTGTAAAACAAGTTGTTCTATTAAAATAGGACTCATGCTATGGTTCACATATAAAGTTAACATATGTTAACCATAAACATTATAGTTAACATATGTTAACCATGAACACTGTCTGCTTTAACATGTAGTCGAACTTCAGCAAGTTCTGAAGTTTCAAAATCAACACCCCTAACTTTTCTCCACCAGAATTATCGCTGATCATGCTTACAACTGGCAGAAGTTTACCAACAAAACCAGTGCAATTGGCTTGACTTTTCTTCATTTACGAGACAGTGTATCTATAAACAAGTATAAACGAAACAGAAAATACGTCTGGTCATCTTAGAAAGTGTGACAAAAAACAGGTTACTGGTGTTAACACGTCTGTGTGTGTATGCCATCGTTGCTAGTTTGAAGTATCTAAAACAGACTACAAACTTGCAGGTGTACAAAAAAGTCTGTTTTTTTTCTTGGTTGGTTGAAAGCTGTACACAACTGGTTAGGAAACCAGCAGTAACCTTCCAACCTTAACAAGATGTTGCCACACAATCACGTTAACACGTACACAGAATCAAGGCTTTAAAGTGCAACTATCTCATAAATAATATGTCGACCGACGAATCTCTGTAAACAATAAGCGTCCTCTTCACAAGCAACCCGAACGAGGTGGAACCTCACGCTGCACATAAACAGACACAGTAATACCTAACAAAATCACTTCCCTTTTTTTCTTCCTTTTTTTTTTTTTTTTTTTTACAAAATTTAGTGTTCATCGTACTAGCCCCCAAATACGTCTCACTTTGTGTGTCATTAATAACACAGAAGTCTTTACTATTGTCTCAATAGCAAAATGGTTCCCTGGAAACTTGGTTATGATCAATGTCCCAAGAAATACGTCAATAGCGAGATTTCTAAAGTGAAAGTGTTAACCTGACAATGCGAAAAAGTTTGATCAGGCTATAACTTGTTGCAGAACTTTCAACCGGATCATAACTTCCTCAAACCCCTCCAAAATATCCTTCCCTGCCCCGTTTTTGATAAAAAAAATCTCCCATAGCTAGAACACCCCATGACATCCATATCTGAATGTACAAAACTCTTTCCCATATTTTCGTCGATTTTTGCCAGTATGAACGCATACAAATTTTGCCACAAATTTACGTTTTTGATATTTTTCCCCTTGCAGCCATCTGACATCCTGCCTCCGAAAAAATCCTTTTTCTTTTAATATTAATTATCCCGCCCACCCCAAATACATGTACAAGACATACCCTCCCCTACCCCTCCCCCCCAAACCACCCTCACTCCTCTCTCAACCAAAAAAAAATAATAATAATAATAATAATAATAAAAATCTTAGGAAGGCAAAGATCACGCAACAGAATAGTTGCGAGACCTTCACATCCACTTACTGTATACTGTATTCAAAGAAATTGCTACACAATCAATTTCCTAAGCACCAGAAATGTTTCATTTGAGAAAAAAAAAATTGCAGATTCTGAACCGAAAACAAAAACAAAAAAAGGTTTCGACATATTTAAAGATAACTCAAGGATTAATTTTATTGTTTCCTTTTTGGGTGAAATTTTGAACTTTAAACCTAACTTCCCCCAACTCCACCGAAATCCATCCCCTGATTTTTTGGTGGATTTGGGGGACTTGGTCCTGCAGGCCTGGTGTGACTAAATTTGATTGAGTATGATGGGCTTGGGCCTGGAGGCAAAGCATGCATTGGAAACTAGTGATTGATGAAATTTGGTGGACTTAAACCGGTACTTCATAAAAGCCAGTAGGGAGTTAGGGTTAACCCTTCCACAACTGGGCAAGCTTTGTATCTTTTCGTGTTTATCCTCAATAATGTGAACTTGTAAATTTTAATAATAAGAATTTATTCAAGAAATCAGATTTCAAAATAAAAATATTGTAACCTTACCATTTGCTCGGAATTTTAAGTTGGGAAATTTTAATCACAAGAAAATTGTGGTATGACAAAATAAAACATCTTTTTGCCCTTGCTTTTAAAGCCTGGAGCAGATCTTCTCAGATCTTCATTTACAGAAAACGTGTTCACTTCTTTAACAGCTACCCAAAAACTGAAGAAAAAACGATGCTCCCATTTCAAAATTTTGGGGTTTGGGTTTTGCACAAGCAACTACAATTTAGTCAGCATTTTTCATAATCTAAAATTTACATTCCAAAACCAGTCCAGATTATACACGAAATGTTCTGAAAAAAACAAAAAAACAACTAGTTATAGAAAGGTCGGGAGTGGTTGTTGATATAAAAAACAGACATTTTTTAGTGGAAAAAAAATGATTATGAAATTGTAAGTAGTGCTCAACCATTAAAAAAAAAATGGTGAAAAAAAAGGACTTACAGAAAATATAAACAGATCTGCATGCAATTCTGAATGCGGATGAACAACAAGGAAATCTCTGATGAAACCGCGTCAACAAGTAGGATTATTACATATAGACGCTTGTCTTTTGCATTTAGAAAAATAGGGTTTTTGAAAAACAAAACGGGCTTTTAATAATGACGCCATATGCACAAACTGGTTCTGACAAACTGCTGATTTTGGCAATTTTAGACATCGCTGCTTAAGGCCTTTTCACACTAGAGCCTCTAAACTCGGGATGTATTCGACCCGGGTTGACTCGACCTGGGTTGAACTTGACCCCGGTTGAACTTGACCCGGGTTGAATTCGACCCGGGTTGAATTCCACCCGGGTTGAACTCGACCCAGGTTGAACTCGATCAAGGTTGAACTCAACCCCGGGCCTTGGGTCCCCAAATTGACTTTTTAATTTTCAACCCCGCATCGTTTCACACTTGTTTCGTGCAAACCAAGCTTATTTCACTTGGTTACTACTGTTTTGAACCCTGGCGAGAGTTTCAACCTGGGTCGAAAATCCCAACCCTGTTCTGGAGCAGGGTTGAGTTCAACCCGGGGCAAAATCAATCTCAGGGTTGATGTAGGGCTGAAAAATGTCAAGTGTGAAAGCCACATGTTTGCAACCTCGCGCCAAGATTTGTCTAGTGTAAAAAAAGCCTTTTGAGATCAAACTACAGAGGCAAAAATTCAAACGTCACCTTATTAAGTCCCCCAAAATGTAAAAATGTATAAATAAACAAATTGTCATGGCAAAGATTTCCGATCTACTTAGGAAACAATATGTCATTTTATGCCATGTTCTCATGCACAAATCACCAGTGTTTGCCGAACATGCGTCTTGTATAAATATTTTGCAGGTAAATCCATCGATAATACTATACTGGATAAAGAAGGCACTGGTTTTTTTTATGCGTTTAACTTACGGTCAATTTGGTAATTCAAAATAAAAAACAAATATTACACTTAACAGAGCAATTTTATATTGTTCAATCCATACTGTGTTGATGGTTTTAATGTTGAAATTGTGTAGAATAGTCGCTAGAAAAAATGGGGGTAAAAAACAAACTAGGGGTGCTTTCAGAATTGCATACAACAAAAACGACTTCACAGCACAGAATTTTTTCGGTAATTTTTATCCGTTGGTTTGGGCGGAGACCGGAAACGAACACATTTTTTCAACGCTATTTTCATCATCGAGTCTCTGTATTTTTTTTTAATTACCGCACTGTACAGCACAATAAAATAGACTGTGCACGTCGAGATAATATAGTATACTTTGTTAGTGTTCAGCTGCTACAAATGTACATTCCTTCCCAGGATTATAAAATTACACACAAAATCACGTCGTTTCTACAATTTGCTGTTGCCATCAAACTGTTCCTTTCTATAATTCAATGGTGCAATAAACTGTCTTGAAAAACTATTAATGAGTAGATAATAAATTGTTTTGCACAGCTTATAAATTTTTACATTTGCCCCCCCCCCCCGTTTGATTCCAGTCTCCGCCCACTGAACCAATCAATCAACACCAATCACTACCCTCAGTCTAGAAGTTTTGCGAAACCCCGTTTTCATTTCGACTTTGTCTCCAGCCCATGATTTGCCTGACTCTTGTTGAAATCAAACACAACGGAGCCGGAAACTGAAGTCGGGGACAAAGTCGAGGTTTCGTAAATCCCCTATGTACTAAACCTTAGCGTTGTGGGTTGTAACCACGCCCAGGACCACCTCCTTTGTTGATCCCGCCTCCCATGCCGCCTCTGGGACCGCCTCTTCCAGAGGCTCCGCCCCTTGGGGGACCCCCGCTACCGGGCCTCTTGGTCTTCTTTTCTTCCACGTTCAGACGGTGCTCGCCGCGAAGCAGGATGGGCTGAGGAAAAAAGGTTTAAATATGTATAATTATACTGCAAACGAAAAAACAAATTAAAAACTCCCGACAAGTCATAAAGACAAGTCAAAGGGGGATAAATGTCGAAAAGAGTTTCCTTGATGGGTTCATTGTCTGATAGCAACTCTGCAATACTTGGGCGAACCTTACAGGCAGTGTTGTAGCCGAGACAGAGATCAAGGCTTCGAGACCGAGACCACGACCAAGACCAGCTCTTTCAAGACCTAGACTTTCGAGACCGAGACCAAGAATTCCAAGAACGAGACTTTTGCAGGTGGGGACCAAGCATGAATATAAATGTATAATGTTGAATAAAGCCCTATGTAGATGGTGCATTTTGTTGTGGTCTCGACAGGTCTCGTGGGTAAAACCCCAGACCTTGGCATCCGAGACAAAGACACAGACCGAGACCAGCACTTTCAAGACCAGCCCCCCCGAGACCAAAATTCATGATAGGAGACCGAGACCGCAAAAAAAAAAAGGTCTTGAGAGGGCCATTAAACAAGGGTACTTTGGTGCCTTTTTGGTTTTTATGTTAATATGTGAATTTCCATATTCATCAGCAAACATGTGATGTCCTTTTCAGTAGAAACCTCACTGTAACAGCTATTTCAGCATCAAAAGTTGCCAGACTTTTGGACATTTCGCTGTCGTAAATTTTCTTTTCTGTAGTGATTCGTTGTTGTTGCAATATATGACAAAAGCCAATGGAGCAAACTTTTCTCAAAAATGTTTTTAATGAGCAAATTTCTGGGTTCACAGTTTGAACAGAAAACCCCCTTTAGCTGAATGGTGTCTTCCTAAAATGACATCACAGCAACGGTGCCCTTAATTGTCAGGAAAAGCATGGACAATTTTTAATTTTGAAAAAAAGTGCACTTTTCGAATAAACTTAACTTAAAGGGAATATACAACATTTGCAAACATCGAAAAATAAAATTACCAAGTTTTTACGAAATACCTTAATAGGATGTTGGTAAATGACAGTCTAAAGCATCCTGTAAAATTATGGCACCTGGTATACTGTCATTTTCAAGAAAAGTGGTATTTTTGTATCAATTTCCAACGCTGATCGGCCGATCAGCGTTGGAAACAACTGGCTTTTTTTCAAATACTGGCCCCAATTGACCATTGCACTTGTTTGCAATCGATTGCAAATCTATGAACGGGTACGAGCCAGCTAGACTGGTTCCCTGACCTTACAATTCCCCAATGTATGTAAACTGCTCTGTTTCTTCTTATATGGAGTCAGGGAACCAGACTACAGGAAAATGATCGTTTTTCTTGGTTTTTATAGCATTTTCGAACCCAAAACCTCCAAAAAGTCAGTGTAACTATATTTGCTTTATATTTCCAACCCCCCAATTCCATCCATTTCTGAAAATTACAGCAAAAGCAAATGATGTATATTCCCTTTAAAAGGGATGTCAAATAATGTTCATACATGTAAGAGGAGTAAAAAGTTGTACAAAATTTGTTTCCAAGTAAAATTCATTTTTGGTCACTTTAAATAACAGTGCACTTTACAAAACTTTAATCCAAAAAAAGGGCGTCTCATAGTTTTCACTACACAGAAATGGATATTTGCCTAAAATATGTTCCAGTGAAAAGATCACATTATTGCGTCTTTTAAATTACGTGAGTTGGAAGTGGGCCTTACCCCTTTCGTCTTCTGTTTCAGGATGGTCTGAACCGGAAGGCGGTCCGAGAACACGATGAAGCCAAAGTAGGGCAGAGGTTTGGGACCAGTGTTCCTGTTGATACGCATGTCCAACACCGTGCCAAAAGCTTCAGGTAAACAAACAAAAAGATAGTTTATCAATACAGTCGGCTCCCGTTATAACGAGGTCCGATGGACTTTCACAATACTGTCGTTAAAGCCGGAACCTCGCTAAAACCGAGGATCTATTCCTTACAATGTTAACACTCAACTCCTGAGCGCCCCCTATTGTTAGTTTGTAATAATCTAGAAACGTGGTACCGCAGTCGTAAGCAAACTTCAAACCTGGTCACGCTAAAGGGAAACCGCAGTGGGGGATTAGCGACTAGACCAGCCGTCCACTGCGCCGATTATCACAGTCCCATTGAATTTATTTGAAAAGATCGGCGAGATGAAATAACGTTGGGTTGAAGTCTTTACAAAGGTACATTGATGGGTGAAGCTATAAGTGTGTTGCTTGAATTGGAAGACGGGAGCATGATACCCGTTTCGGGACAAAAGGTCTGTCGTTGACAAGCTGCAATGCCCGTAGTTTTGAAAAGATGTCGTTGTAAATGGGTTGAGAACAATGCTTTTCCTCGCATTGGGTCAGCCAAAATCGTCTTAATAGCCGAAGTCTCGTTATGTCCGTGCACGTAATAACCAAATATTTCCCCATAGTAATGTACACAAATTGATCGGGACTGGGAGAATGTGCTCGTTACATCCGGGTTATCGTTATGACCGAGCTCGTTATAACGGGAGTCGACTGTATTAGGTTTTGCCCTTCACCAACGTATAAACACTGTTTACTCGGTGTGTTATCTCCCGAGTGAAAGTTGGAGAAAAATCGCACTGGTGGGACTCGAACCCACGACCTCCTGCTTTCTAGTGCAGACGTCTTACCACTCGACCACCGAGCTTGCGAGATCGTTTGGGTAGTTAGTTATTTTCAGTGTTTAACAACAGCAACTATGTGACCATTGGCATTTTGTGAGGTGTTCTGGCAAAATGAGACAGAAGTGGCAAGAGGTCGAAATGAGGGGTTGCGGGTATTAGGAAAGGGAATAAAATTGTCCTTATAGTACTGTTTGTTGCACTTCAATCGGATATTCTGTTGATAAGTTATGGCTGTTTGTATTTCTAGCTTTTTAACGAACTTCCCTAGCAGATTTTCTCTAGTTGAACCAAAAAAAAAAAAAAAAAAAAAAACTTTAGCCTTTCTTACTTGAGAAGAATTCTCTCAGTTCCTCATCGTTGACATCCTGGGGCAGATTCCCCACGAACAGCTGATGACTGTCGGGGTTCTGCGGCGCTCGCGGCCGGTTGCCTTGCTCCGGGCCCTCCATCGGTCTCCGTCCCCCGGTAGGGCGCCCCCGCAGGTCCCGCTGACCCTCGCGGTCACGGTCTCGCCGGGGTTCCCGCTGGGGGAGTGGCTCCATGCCCCCGCCCCGGGGAGGCCCCCCAGGGTTGCTGGCTTGGGCCGAGGGTTCCGACGGCTTCTGGTTTGGGACCGGTTGAGTCTGTTTGTAAACAGCAAGAAAAAATGTTTACTAATTGCACTTTCAAAAGCAGTGATGTATACAAGTATATAAGCCAAGTAAAAAAAAAAAAGTTTGTCATCCAGTTTAATTTTTCCTGCCAGTCTCTTTTTTTCACTTTTTCTTTTAAATTCATATACTTGCAATATATTTTGCAAATTTTGTCAGCTTTTTATTTGTTTTCCAAAATTTGTTTTGCTATGTAGAAAGGGTGACAGCTCCTTTGGACAAAATGCCATGAACAATAATTTAACCAGGTTTAACCCTAGCCCTCCTCAATCCTCCAAAATCCTCCTGCCGGTTTTGAATGATTTTAGAGGATTGAGGATGAATGGCAAAGATGTATCGCTATTTTTGTGGAGGATACATTACATCAAGCCAGTAGGCCGTATCCTGCATTGGTTATGTTCAGCCATGCATAAATCATCCCTGTGTTTTTCTCTTATTTCATCCGCACTGCTTCTAAACGCCATTTGCACTGCCTCAAATCATAGAAGTAACTGGCAGAGGATTTGGCATCTCACAACTTGGACACACAGCACAAGATGCACATACGCCACACTGGCAAAACCTTTCCCTTCTGGGTCACTGTCAAATTTCCCCCAGTTTTCCCTGAGTTTTGGTGTCTTTCCCAAATTGCCTGGGTTTTCCCTGACTGGAAAACAATGGAAACTCATATTCAAGGTTTTCCATGATTTCAAAAGAGACTGGGAACCCTTACATCAGGGTTAAACTCATGAGTGCCTGTACCTCCCCAAACAACCCTGACTATACACGCCCCTGACTCTATACCCCAGCATTGTACGCTTGTATGTATTCATCAGGATATAAATACAGTGTACTACAATGTAGTACAGTTGCTCATTGGTTAATATGGCATTTGTTCAGTCTTACCTGCATGGAGGGATAGTTGGAGCTAGGAGGAGTGGAGGCAGCCGTGGGGACATTCCGAGCTTTGTCAGCCCATGACGGCACCTTGGGACCTGCAAAATCAGGATCAGATTCCATGTTAATGTTGGTTACTGTTTGGCAAAATCATTTACCCGCGGTTAAAATAGTCAGCCCACACAATACAAAGGTTGCTTCCTGCCCTACTGTGTGTGTGTGTGCGTGTGTGTGACTCATGTATAGGAGAGGCATGGCTCATTGTTGATCTTTGCCCGGTGCTATATTTAGAACACCAAACGCACACAATTCTATGTAATCATTATGTATATCCAGTCATTCCAGTTGACTGCACTGGCCCGTGTCATGGACGTTATATTGACCCTAACTCCCTAGCGTCTTTTACTAGGAACTGGACCAAGTCCATCAAAATCCATCAATCACAGTGCTTCCAATACAAAACTGTACATGACATAATTAAATCCACCACTGACGCATTGGTTGACATTCATCGACTTGCTAAAAGAGGTTGTGGAATGCTCGAAGACATTTCCGTCATTTTTCGGGTATATGTAGCCTAGGGTGTGATGAAATAAAAACGGCTATTGTTTCTGTCATGAAATGAATACAAAAGGTACTTTTGAGAGCTGTTTTTCAGGTCCTGTTTCGACCCGAACGTGCAATTTGTGTAAAAGTCGTCGTTGGGGGCAGCAAACAAAACATAGTAAATTGTGACGTAATAAACAGGACTCCCGATGCAGCGTAGTTCCAGCGAAACTTTTTGCAAATCACTCTGCGCAACGACATGACTTTGTTTATAATTACGCTGAGCGACATTTTGTATGGGCAGCCACATGCTCCATAAATTCACTTTCTATTGATTATTCAGTGTTTTGATAGTTACACATCATTTTATTTGTAGATCGGAGATCATTCTTTTGTGTTTGCCCTAACGGCCAACCATAGTAAGAAATGTCTGCGTACATCAACATCGTTCGATCGTTCACATGCACATCGCATCACGCGTGACACGCGCTATGTATGTAAAGGTGGCTGGAAATTCACGGGTGTACTTGTGCCGCTGGCCCGGCCGCTGGGACCGTAGATTTTAACACCGGTAAACGGTGTTGGAATTTCAAAATAATTCGTTGTTGATACGTGTACGGGTAGCGAACGCACAAGGCCAAGGCAAACCTATATGCCTATAATTGTGTCAGTCGATGGCTGTAATCACACCACATTTTGTTTGCAATAAATTTCCAGCTTTCCCGTCCGGGTGTCAGCATAGCTGGAGGAATAAGAATCCTCCGTAGCCATGCAGTTTGTCCGAAGGGTACCGTGCGAAAACACGAGATCGGATTTCAGCCAAATTAACGGATAGAGCGCTGATCATGCACTGTACATTTCGTACAGCAAGAGTCTTCTTTTCTCAAGAGATTTGTTGAAATTGCATGGACAAGAAATAATAGAGATATGATTTGTTAATGATTTATAGGGAAGACTGTTTTGGACCATTTGTCCATTGCCAATCTTGAAGAACCGTAGACCCGTTCAAATGTATCCTCGACCCTCCATTATCTGCGCAGCATACGCGCACGCGTTGTCACACACAAATTGAAGGTAAATGCGTAGAAAAAAGGACCGCGTAGTTTTCCTTACGTTAGTGCTGATTAATAATGTGACGGGCCTCCATTTTCCCTAGAACTTCTTTTGATCGAATGACAAATTCTCTGCCACTGGAATTTCTTGAATAAAGTCTTAATTAGGTACTGAAAATAATGATAGTGCTCGTTAAATTTCGGGACCAGTGAATTTTGTTTTCAACCGGGATCCCGAACATGTCGTGAGTCAAGAGATTTTTGTTTTATGAACGGGGCATGACTATGATTTATGAATTGTACTTTTTTTTGTAGCCACGTTTACAGGCCGAGGTTTACATGGTCTCCTGGCGTTGTTTTACGGCTTTTTTGGGGTAAACAATAAAGTTAACAATTTCAAAATTCAAGTAAATTCGTAATTATCGTTTCAGGATGTTAAAACAAGGGTTAAAATTCACAAGGAAAGAAAAGAGAAGAGGACTATTTTTTTTGTGGCGAACGTATACATAAAAAGCACCAGGCAACGCAAGGAACTTGACCGGGGCCCGCGACGCTGCTAACCGTACAACATTAGTTCTGGACACGGTCGACCACATCCACCGCCGTGATGCGTTATGCGTGCCGTACGCGTATAATTCGAAAACAACCTGACGATTTGTCGTCTCTTTGGACTGAATATTTACCAGAATAACGTTTGAGATTGTCTGTAAAACACGAAGAAAGTTGCGATAGGACTGTTGATGCTCATCTAAAAATGTTATCATGAACATAATACTTTGAGTCCTTGGATAAAACGCAGCTGTTTTTTTCACGCCGAACGTCGCAGACCTACCACTCATCAGAGCCGCGTTGCCTGGCGTTTTCAGCTGGCCAGTTGCAGTATCCGTGTTTTCGCGGGTCTCTTTTTCGGGCAGTTGGGGCTCAAATTTATACGGAAGAACAGCTCAGAGGTCACCGTGTCCTTGTTCAATATACTCATCCAAAAATTAAGCAATGGGAAGGAATATCAATCTCCTTGAGTCTTTTACAAAATGTTGATTTTTCACTGCTTGACTGCGAGTCACACGTGCTGACGGGGCGGGTTGGGCAGCAGTAAACAGTCGTTGTATAAACGAGTCCTGTTTATTACGTCACGCTTTTTCTGATTTTACGAAGAGTTCGACGACTGTTGATCTCAATAATGCACTCGCCGACCAACAAATTACTCGATGAATTTCAGTTTTATAAACATATAAACGCACATTAGAAAAGAATGGGAGTTTGTCATTATGCTATATATGGGTCTACTCTACAATATAAAAATATAAAAAACAAAACAATTTTCAGCATTCCACAACCTCTTAAACATGGCTTTTATCACAATAGCAGTACAGGAAGCTGGGCAAAATCAATCGGATACCCCTAGCACAGTTTCAGGCCATTAGGCATAAGTCCATCATACTCCATCAATATTTAGTCACGCCAGGCCTTCTGGACCAAGTCCCCCAAAATCCACCAAAATGGGGGGATGGATTTTGATGGAGTTGGGGTGGTTAGGGTTAAGTAACGCACCTTTGTGTTCCATTTATCTTTATTTTGAATCTTCATTATGCCATTTTCAAAAGTGTTTTACTGCTTCTTTGGTTTTGCTCCTAAGCAAATTTCCATATTCATGAGCAAAACTGTGATGTCACTTGAGGGGCCATTCAGAGTAGTCAATGTTAACAAATTTCGATCTTTGTTTTGACCCACCCACCCACCCCACATTTCGATTTTTAAATGTTGAATGACTATTCAATATATCCTATACACTGAAAAACAAAGCAATGCTTCAAATGAAGCAGATAGTTTTTGCGATCAATGCTTTCCCAGCTCAGGACTTTTCAATGGCTTTTTACTTAGACGGTTAGGACACAATGAACAAGTGTTGTAGGTGAGCACTTTTCCACTAGTAGGAGTATGAGTTTGAGTACTTTTCCGTGAGTATGGGTACGAGGCAACAATTTTCAAAGAGTACGAGTAGGAGTACTACAAAAGTATGAACGCGTGTTAAGTTTTGTGAAATCAATCCGAAGTTAAAGGGAAGATACAACATTTGCAAACATTGAAAAATGAAATGATCAAATTATCACGAAATACCTAACTGGATTGTTAGGCAATGACAGTCTAAAGCATCCTGCAAAATTGTGGCTCCTGGTGTGCTGACACTTTCAAGAAAATTGTATTTTTTAAAACTGTTTTTTTTTCTTCTCAAAACTGCTCCTTATTTTTCATATTCAGTTATTAGGCATTGACTTTGTAATTGATTACTAGTGAAGGGGTACAAGCCTGCTAGACTGATTCTCTGACCTTACAATTCCCCAAAGTCTATAAATTGCTTTGTTTCATCTGAAGTGGGGTCAAGGAACCAGACTACAAGAACATGACAGGTTTTCTTGGTTTTTCCAGCATCTACAAGCCCAAAAAGTGGCACAAGTCAGTTTAACAATATTTGCTATAACATACTAATCCTCCAAATCTATTTTTTCTAAAAAATTGCAGCAAAGCAAATGTTGTACATTCCCTTTAAGACCACAAGCTCTTCCTCAGACCTATCTTAGCATTTCATGAAATGGCCTCAGGAAACAAGAAATCTGTCCTTTTGGTTGGGTGTCAGATGTGATGTTATCCGCCCGAACCCCACTGCAGTAAGAACAAACGTCTTACCCTTGTCAACAGGTTCCTCCGGCTCCGGTTGCTCCTCCTCCGGTTCTTGCTCATGGTTGTCCATGGCCGGCGCCGGCGGTTGGGCAACCTCCTCGCTTATCGTCGGGGGCGACTCCTGGGTGATCTCCATGCCAACCGGATCGCTGATCTCCGCAGGCTTGGTCGGGGTCGTCTCGGGTGATTCCAGATGGGCCGTGCCATTGCTGTCACCAAAAAAAAAAAAAACCAGTTTAAATAGTACCACGACTCAAGTATGGATGTGAATCCACATTTAACTCATAACTTCCTGTACCGCCCTAAATCGCCCTATTTGAACTGCCCAAAAGCACCCAAGCACAATCTTGTAAATTGAGCAAAGCGTTCACACACAACAAATCACGGAGTCTTATTCTGGTCTTGTTCCTTAATTGAGGGGACCACATACCTGTTTAATGATAGTTATTATGGGGACCCAAGACGCTATTAGCCTATTTGAGATATGGGAGACACAATAGCAGGGCGCTGTTTGATTTGGGTAAACTCTTTTATGGGTGCGTTCGCGTAGCTCACCCGGATCGACTCAGGTTAGCCCCATGCCGATAGATTAGCTCTGTCTTCGTTCTCAGAGCTCACCTGGGTGAGCAACCACAGACCCTGCTCGTGGAGCAGAGTCAGCGGTGGAAATACGTCACACGCATGCATTGTTCATTCCAAGAAACTGGCAAAAAATATGGCGGCCGGACAGCGAAAAACTAAAGTGGACTAAAAAATAACTTTAAGTCTAACTGTTAGGTAATTATTTACGTAACAAGTATGTTAAATACGGACTAGGGGCCTGGTCGCCAATAATGTCCCTTAGCGTCCAGGCCGCTTGTCCAGTTTTAAATGTACTTGTTTAAAACAGGCCAAGCACATATTTATTCCCTTATTCCAAATACTATGAAGTTAAATCTCTAGGATGTGATAAAGCGCAGACTTGCTTCTTACCATGTTTGCTAAAAAAAGGTTCACGGAATCCTTGATCTTTCTAAAATGAAAATGGAAGGCACATCACATGAATACCAATTCTATCTTTATTTAAAATTTGAGTTACGTTTCAAGGTTTTGGAAAATTTGTGAACCGATGGATTGTTTGTTCTTTTAAACATTTTAACATGTGGAGGTATCATCCTTAGATTAAACTTCCGTGAACATTACTGGGGAAGTTTCCTGGTATCAAATGTGCTTGTTATGAAGCGCATGATCCAGCCTCAATTCCAATTTAAGGGGGATAGTTAATCTGATGATTTTTCTCACCTGACGACGGGCTGATGGGGCTCGTAGTAAGAACTGACCGTTGCATCCTGCACCGAGATGTCAGTGCTGATGGGCTGCTCAGCGGTCGCCTCCTCACCCTCAGACACTAAGAAAGAAAGAAAGCACCAGGGTTAGGGCACGTTCACCTGTGTTATGATGAGGAACTGAATTTTGTTACTTGGGTCAGGCTGATTTGAGTTATTCTTGGGCAGTGACTCGAGACAAGACTTACAAAGGCAGAGACTTGAATTGAGTCTTTGGGTCAACAAGGTCAAATCAAGGCACGTTCTTGCTCCAGTCACTGACTTTATAACGCCATCTTATTTAGGATCACAAAGTTCCAGATTTGTTTAATTAAATGTTCCGGTTTAGGGATGCTCAAGTTCTGTAATGAAAGTGCGAGGTCCAAAAAGTAGTAATTCATATAAGACCAAGATCTTGTAGTTTAGGAATATCTTTTAACAATTCCAACATGTCTCTTCAATTATAAGAATTATTTGCCTCTGAAAAAGTGTAACCCTGTACAATCGGTTACAAAAGTACAAATCAAAATGAATATAAATTGATAACACGACCATTTGACTAGATGAAATGTGAAATATCAAATGCAGGATTTGACAATTCAAATAACACACTAACAATTTTAATAAAACACTAAACCCTTTAGTCTGCATTATATAACACCAAAGTAAATCCTTGTCATTGGATTGGAGGATTGTAGGTCACGCGGCATTCATTAATCGAACCATTGCACGGCCTACGTCATAACCGTGCATTTTTGGTTTCATTCAGCGTGCATTTTCGTCCCATCCCTTTTGATCTATTGCACGCTGCGCATACGCTAAGACACGCAGTGGCCCAGCGCTATACGATCTTTGTGCTATTTAGACTTTATCATGCTTTTTAAATAGCAATACAAAACTTGTCTTTCAAGTTGATGCAGTTGAAAACTTTGTTTGCATTGTTTTAAAAACTTACACTGTTTATTGTCAATGATTTTAAGCTGAAACAATGTAGTGGATATGATACAATTTTTGGAGTTTTGTTTGTTCTTAAAGTTTTATCCTCCAATCGAATGACAAAGATCTACTTGGATGTTATACAAAACAAATAATGAATGTTTTGCATTCGTGCAATGGTGAGAATATTTTCATTCGTTGAAAGATGGAGTGTTCCATTCAACTCGGCTTCACCTCGTTGAATGGAGCATTCTATCTTTCAACTCATGAAAATATTCCCACCATAGCGCTCATAAACATTCGTTATTTGTATGATAGTCCTAGAAAAGCACAGTTGATGACAGTAACGTCTGCTCAGACTCACCACTGCCGCATCCGTCATTCTCCGGCTCCGAGTCGGTGTCGTTGAAGACCTCGTCCTGGTAACGGAAGATGTCATTGCGTACGTAGTACTTCTTAGCAGACTGAGGCGCCAGCACAAAGGTCTGCATGAAGCGACGCATCGGCTCTCCGTTGTTGGACAACTCTCCAGTCACCTGTTCATAGCAAGAGATAAGTATAAGAACAGTATAAGAAAGGCTTTCCTATCACTTGCATTTTCATGTTTTTCTTTTTAGCAAAAGGCAAAATTTTCTGGCCAACTTCTGGTACACAGCCAAACGCCACAAAACCTGATTCGCTAGAGTCATTTCAACAGTATTTGTACGATATGTCTTGCTGAAACCTTGTATGTTTCAATACTCTGGGGTGTGCACTGGAGTGTAAAATGTACAACAATAGACCTTGATCTTGCTGCCCCATTTCAGTCATGTTCCCTGTATCCAATAACAGTACTGAATGAGTCTGAAGGGTTAAGGGACAATCTTACCTGGACCACCACCCCTTCTCCCAGCGTAGTGTGACTATTCCCGTGCCTGATCTTAGCATGACAGTCACAGAAGTTGAGGGACCCCCCACCCCGAGTCTGAAGGGTTAAGAGACCTACTCTTACCTGGACCACCACCCCTTCTCCCAGCGTAGTGTGGCTATCGACCTGCCTGATCTTAGCATGACAGTCACGGAAGTTGAGGGACCCCAACCCTCCCCCTCCACCCTCCCCCTCCACCCTCCCCCCACCCCCGAGTCTGAAGGGTTAAGAGACCTAATCTTACCTGGACCACCACCCCTTCTCCCAGCGTAGCGTGGCTATCCACCTGCCTGATCTTAGCATGACAGTCACGGAAGTTGAGGGACAAGATCTTCTCATTGATGTCCTACAGAAAACAGAATCAACGTCAACATGACACAAAACCCCAACAACTATTTGTACCTAACAAAGCAAATACAATTTCTACATCCCTTGTAAATATTGCTACATGTTTAGTGTTTTTTTTGTAATGAATGGTTAAAACTGTTTTTATGGGCTCCGTGCACATATACCCTCTCAACGGTAAGACAGGGAGAGTTGGGGAGACCACCGAGAGAGACCATTGACCGCATCGCCGACGATGTCTGACAATCACGCAAAGACACTATGGCTTTGTGCCCATAAGGATCAAATCAGTCCTGAGTACTCTGCGCTGTACCCGCGTGAACAAGTGGTCTAAAAGCGCCTTCTCTTGTTTGTGCCCAGAGCCCATTTGTTAAATATAAACAGTAGAATACATTTAAAGCCTTATGCCTTTGGTATTTTTGCTAGTTTGGCAAATTATTTGCGTCTGGTCAAAAGGATAAACGGTTCATGTTGTGCATCGGGTCGGGTTGACCAGGCCAAACTGACCTGAAACATTACAGATGTAAACCGAATATGAACCAAAACCGATCTGAACTCCCCTAATCCGACCCTACAAGACAAAAATTCAAGCAAAACCGACCTGAACCCAAACCAACTTGACTAAAACTCGATATCTGGTTTGGGAAACTGTGTCCACTATTTGTGCCTAAACTTTCCAGCGCCGAGTGAAAACCATCGTCTCTCAGTAACAGCATCATACTGTACGGTACAGTACAGAATCGTAACGTGACTGATTGGTGGGCCTACACATTATAGACTGTGCGTGATAGACCGCAAACCGTATGCACATTCACGCAGTGGGCTGACATTGGTCGTACGGGCACAGTAACTCTAGTGACATGTACAGTAAACTCCGGCTAAACTGACATCGTACAACTCTTCAAATCGCTCAAGTCTACTGCTGCAGTCAATGCGTGCGTGGTATATACCGGACCATGCACGCATTTAATTCGTTACTGTGCACGTACATATGTATCGTGGTCTCCACTATCAATACCCCAAACGTGATGATACAATTCGAGGATTAATTTGCTGGATTCAACTCGAGCATTAAGGACATAATCCAGGGTAAATCGAAGCCAATTAGTGCAATGAATCATGTGTGCAAAAGACCATTCATGTAAGTCGGGCAAAATGACGACTTACAGCAGATATCGGCATTCGCATAAGTCGTCACAAAGTCTCGGGTCCCGAGAGTGCCGACTTAGCCGGAGTTTACTATACAATAATATTGTATTGCTGGAATTTTTGAATGTTTCCGTTATTTCGGTTAATTTCAGTTTATGCACAAGGGTGACCCTGGGTGACTCTGAGTGACCTTTCTCATTTAAGAAAAACAAACACAGATAGACGGCTTCCTTTCACTATTTGCTAGTAATAAGATGTGCTTGATTCCACTATAGTACAGACAACTTACCATCTGACCATAGACAGGCTCCTCAGGATTACCATCAGGGTCCACACCACCATGCACAAACGACGAGTTATTCAAATAAAACCTGGCCAGAAAAAAAAAAACAAATACATGCAAATTATTCACAAAAATGTGGCTAATATTCAAAAAACGGCAATACAGATAAAGGTCTTGTAGAACTTTTACCGCCAGAATTTGCTGCAAATACACAAAATGGTAAGCGAGAATTGGTTTCAGATGAATAAGCCTACATCTTGTAACGTCGACTGTGATTGGTCAGTCTCCCTTCAGGGGTTAGCAATGGCATTTGCATATTGTCATAAAAACGTCAATTTTTATAAAGAGACATTTTTTTCCCTTATCACGGTCTTCAGCACAATTTCAGCAGTTCATCCAAAAGTGGTCTGTTCACAATTAAATTATCTGTATTCAAATATCTCAAAAGCTCATATTTCTCTTCAAGAATACAATATGAACCATGTGAACTATCTTACTGCATTTTCGTAACCTTGCTAAATTTATACAACTGAGAGCAACAATGGTAGGAACTTGCTGCACATACGTAAATCTTAAACATAAACATTTTGGCGATTTCAGGACAATGTGCCCCTTTAACTTTCCCATGGCTTCAAACATTAGAAAGTTTGACTTTAATTTTTTTGTTTATAAAGAACAAGAAAATCAAATGCAAAAACTGCCAGAAAAAGTCTGGGGAAAATGTTTGGACAGACTGATGCATACATGTTCTAGAAAATCAACAGGTGTTGGGAAAAAAGGAAACAAAGACAAAGAACATATAATGAAATTATAATGAAATTATGAACTGTAATGTGTAAAGATGAGGATACACTATAAACAAAGTGTCTAATTGGGTGGGGCGTACGTGTGCAACATAAGGCTCATGTTCCGGTTGCTACAAACCGTTTCCTTTCGTTTCCCACAACCACAAAATCACCCATTTCCCCCGCTTGACTCCCGTAAGACCCATCAACGGTGAGTCAGCCAAAGTTTGGGGTATTGAAAAGGGGCGAAGAAAGTCAATGACTCGGAACTGTCGCACACTAGGGTTCTTAAACGTCCGGGGGACTGGCAAGTCTTGAAGATTGCAACCAGTTTACAGCAAACACAAACCGAGCGCGAGACTTTTCATTGAAACTTGAAAGACACTAGACAGCAGTGTTTTTGGACAGAATATCTCGCCTTCAAAAAGTAATTTTTGAAAACAAATTGAAAAGTAATTGCACAACTTGAATGAACAAAATGTGGAAACAAATGCAATTCGCCTAGAACATGATACTAAATTTACGTTTCATGTTATTTTTCTGTGTTCAATTTGCAGTTTATGCAAAGTGAAACTACTTTGTCCACTTTGCTTGCACAGAAAGTATTACTACACCGCATAAATATTCATGAGAGCTGAATTTTGATTGGGCCATTCACCATCATGTCAGATAGTTTTGCTATTTAACCACTTTATGCCAGAATTATTTTGCTGAAAATTTTTCACAAAAGCAAATTTTCCAGCCAACTTCTGATATACAGAGTCATTTCAACAGTATTTGTACAATATTTCTTGCCAAAACCTCACATGTTTCAATACTCCGGGGTGTGCACTGGAGTGTAAATTGTACCACAATAGGCCGTGCACAGTGGCAAATTCAAGATCAACACACTGTCTGCCTCCACAGACTTTGTGTGTGTGTACAAAAGGCACGAAGGATTATAGCTTGGTTAGACGTCACACGGAGGCGAGTCAAGGCAATCTTGAGGTCTTAATCCCTCAGCTGTGCCTTTGTATAAAAGCAACCAATGCGTGTTATCACGTCCTCAGACGCGAACTGGTTAACAAGCGCGCATGCATGAGGACTCTCACACAGCAAATATACATTTTATATACGCAGCACAGTCAACTATAGTCGTGAACTATCGCACCAGTGTAGTGCGCATGGGCTAACATCGCCAAAGCTACATCAAGTACATGAAAAGATGGCACCACGAGGAATGTTTGGCTGAGATAACAGATGCATAACTTGACAAAACTTTGGTGAAAAGCAAAAGTGAAACAAATATAATGATTTTTGGATTCACCTCGGAAAGTAGTTTGTCAACTTCCAATACCTAAGGGAGCTAGTATCAACTATCCACCCTTTAACCATGTTATATTTGTATACTATGGACCTTCAATATGTCTTGAAATACATCTATACCCAAAATGTATTTGCTCAGGAAAATAAGACAACTTTCAGATACTAACATTTTTTTGGAGTTATACTTTGATTTCAAATGATCGATGAACAACATTATTCCTAGGTAAATGTCGTAGTAGTACACGTTTTGGGCCACAGGGCCGATCGATGTCCATGTCCCCCAAATCATCGAAAAATAAAATAAACCCATGATGTACAATTGAACATGAAAACACAAAGAAACAAAGAGTTATATTTCCAAACCTGTGTAAGTGCTCGGGCCCTCGGTTCAACAGCGTGTAATACTGACGCACGAACTCTCGGCCGACGGACTCGGGACTGACCACGGCGTTGTTTCCTGCGATATTGGCGTCGGACGTGTTGGGCGCTGCAGTTCTCTGCGCACCGGCCGGCGCAGCTGAGGGCGCAGACTGAGGGTTGGTGGCCATTACCATGACTGTCCAACTATGGGGCGCCAAAAAGACAAAACACAAAAAAGTGAAATTGAGGTAAGTTGAAAAATTTCGCTATTGAAGTTTTTTTGCCAGCTGATTGTCCTGACTGACTGAGTACAGGTTGGAGAGGGCCTCCAGGAACTTCACAGCTGATCTACATGTGCTGCATTGCCCTATAAAGTCTTAAAATGAGACAAGTTTATCAACTTGCAAAACCCTGGAGGATTTCAGGCGATTGAAGCTGAATGGCAAACAAAATTTGTCAGTTGATTTTGGAGGATGATTGTGTCAAGGTCCTAGGCTGTATCTTGTGTTGTTTATGCTTTGCCAAGCTTTAACCCTAACAACCCTGAGCCCATCAAGCTCCAACAGCGGGTTTTGCTTGATTTTGGCAGGGTTGGTACCGAACACTGGCCAGTTGGTGTTGGACTTTGATTGACTGGGTACCAAAGGCCCAGGGAGACCCTGTTGCATTTTGTGAGGTTCGGGGCAGAAGGGCATGAGATTTGTGAACACGTTGGAGTTCACTGGCATTTCTTCGTGAAAATGCTCACCCACGGTCCTCAGCACAGCTTGTGGTCAAATGTGCATGTACATATTGCTTTATTTTGTTAGGTTTGGTACCATCCCTATCCAATCACTCGACAATGCATAGGCCCATCCATACCAAGTCAATCATACTCCAACAGTTGGAGTTTGGCAGGTTTAGTACTGTTCCCCGTACAAGGCCTGTTGGAGTTTGGCAGTTTTGGTACCAGTGCTTACAGACCTGTATGCAGCTGTTGAAATTTGTTAGGTTTGGTATACTTTCTAGTGCAAGAGCCTAGGGGGTTAGGGTTAATTTAGGTCTAGATTATACTTGAAATCATCCACACTGCTTCTGGATATCATCAACACTGCCTCAAGGTATTAACGGTGATTTTTGGAGGATTTTGCAGGATTGATGCAGTGGTCACCCTCCAATGAACACATTCAAGAAATATGGGGGGCATTTTGGAGGATTGAGGCAGTATCCAATGTTTACCTAGTGGCAGTTTGAGGAAGAAATGAGGATGGCATCCCATCAAAAAGGCCTAAAGAGTTAGGGTTTGCTTAAGGCATTTTTGCTAGGAAGTAACCTGATCCTGCAAAATCCTGCAACTGTGCCCATGTAAAAATTGTATACAGCCTTAATCCTCCAAAATCATCCATTATTTCTTAGATGTGGTCCTTGGAGGGGTGACCACTGCCTCAATCCTGCAAAATCCCCTAGCAATCACTGTCAATATGTTGAGGCACAGCCAGTGACATCCTAGAGCTTGCTGAGGATTTCACATATAATAATCTAGGCCTAAATCTATGCACGACTGAGCATAAACAACACAAGGTCCGGCCAAGACCTTGACACAGTGCATCCTCCAAACTCAGCCACACATTTTTGCCATTATAACAGCCTCAATTCTGCAAATTCCTCAATTTTGCAAAGAGGATTATGGAGGATTGGGGAGGTTAGGGTTAAAGAGAATGTGCATAGCACTGGGAAGCTCCACATGAGAATCGATTCGGAACTGTGAAACAAAACATTGAAGAAGTTAATTTTTAGTTCTGTGGGAATCAATGTTTCGACACTTTGGAACACACTTTACATAGGCCATCAGCCTGGTGGTTTGGCAAGTATCAAATCGGGGCATAAATGATTATAGTGCGCATGCGCAAGGTATACCGCCCCCAGAGTGGTAACAAGCATTTTGATGGACATTTTGAAAAAAAGGGTGATAACACCCAAAAAGCTGCCACCGATGCAATGCTATCACATATTTTCCAACTCTGGAGGTGTATACCTTGCCAAAAATCGCTATGACGATTATTCCCCTCATTTGATACCGGTGGCCAAAATTTTGGACCGAGGCTGATGGCCTAACACAGTAAATTAACAATGTAAATTAACATGGTTTTTTAACTGATAAATTGGGAATCAGACTCAGAAATAATCCAAAAATACAATGTACATGTATGTACAATGTATGAAGTTACACACTCATTCTTTCAAGCCAATATAAAGTTTACATGTAGACAAATGAATTCCACAATTCGTAGAAGTGTACAACTGAAGAAAAAAAGTGTTCAATGCTAACAATAGAGGGCGCTTTGCATCACGTCCGAGAGCTCATATGGAGGGACACACCAATTGCGCATACTGATTTGTGCATGTTTTGCGCACAACTAATTTGATTTTGCATGTTGGCAACCAATAGCGTCTGAGCATGAGCTTCAGGCGTCGTCAGCAATGCGTTCCAATGTCCTTCCCAGTGGTCTGCCCCAACTTTCCCCTTGCAACCATTGAGGGGGTACTTGTTCATGAAGCCTATAGCTTGATCTAGGACCAAACAATTCAACCAATATTTATAATGGTGTCTTTCCAATGATGGCAATTAAGCGTGCATATCGTAAACCTTGCATGGAAGTAATTCATCCTGCATTTATAATGACGTGGTATGAACTGTTGCCATGGAAACCATTTTATCCAGCTTATGCGTATGATCAACATGTACGTGCAGGTAATTATCATGATGTACATTATACATTGCACTGTTATGATGTTCATATAACGTATGTTGATCAACAGCAAAGCTGTATGACGTATACAAGGAAGACGTATACAAGGAAGACGAATAAACGAAAGTACATGTTGTCAAGTGTACACAAAACAGAAAAAAAAAAATTTCATGGCAAATTGACAGCCCCTGTGACAGTTATAAGAGACGTCACAAAAAAATCTAATATCTATGGCCAAGTAAAAAAAAATAAAAATAGTTTCTCGTACCCTCCCTCTTCCTTTTTCCTGACCACCTCCCTTTTTTTCCATCAAACATTTGCAATAGACAGAGATGCCACAGGGTCTGCTTGAAAAAAACGGAACTGGGTCTGCTTGAAAAAAACGGAACTGGGTCTGCTTGAAAAAAACGGAACTGGGTCTGCTTGAAAAAAACGGAACGGCTGCTTGAAAAAAACGGAACTTCTGTGTGTGTGAAAAAGCCACTCCGTGTCCGACACAAAGTCCCCGTTGTCAACTTTATCTTGTAGCCAAGCCAAGTTCTGTTTATTTTTTAATTTTGCTTCTATGGCCTTTAAAGCTGTCAGTTCGTTCAATCACTTTGACTTTTTCCATATTCCTAATATTTATTCTGCCTACCCCAATTTCCAACGTAATATTCGACACGAAACGTGCATGATTCCACAACACTGCTGTCGGTGTACATGATCCTTGCATGCACTACGCGATGCGCTCAACGAAAACATGGTTGGTACTCGCATTTTTTGTATTCACATATATAACTACGATCGGAAACCACCGATAGCTTAAATGATAGACTTGATTTCCAGGCTGAATGCTACGTGTGCTTAGCACACAACACGCCCGCACGCGGTGAAGCACGCGCGAGGCGCCGTTGTATACTGCGTGCAAGTACGTATGCAGGCTCGGCAACAACATACACAAAGACTGTTTTTAAGACTACTTCAACGTATGCGTGCACCTAAATGTACTAAATCGAGGTAAAAATCAACGCAAGTTTTTCTTTCTTTTTTTTAAAAACCGGAATTCCGGTTAAAACCGGAAAAGTGGCATCTCTGAATAGATTTTGTCAGATTTAAAAAAACTTTTGCTATGTATTTGAAAAAAAATAAGTTTAAAATCTTGTAGAAAGGGTGACGGCTCCCTTGGACACAAAAGTATCACCAAAAGAGGCAAGAAAATGGAAGAATCCATCCGCCATCTTGGAAAACCCACAATCTCGGGAGGGAAAAAAATGGACGCCACCTTCCTTTTAAAAACAAAAAGCTCAGACGAGAAACTATATATTTTTTTTTCACTTGGCCTAAGTAGACTGAAAAATGTTGGCGTAATTTTTATTCCCAAGACGGTTGGGGCCAAGTCAGGAATAATTCGGTAGTTTTGACTGGGCCAGTATGTTTATTCATGAGAACAGTACAATGATATCAAGAGCATTGTTGTTATTTAGTCAACCAGTTACATTAAAGCATTTCAAAGTACGGTCGTTGTCGAGCTACCACACAGTAGCCTAGTGGATAGCGAGATGAGCTATGGATACAAAGATCCCTGGTTCAAACATGTCAAATCCACGTGGTCGCTGCTCATCGACTATTTCTCCTCTCTAAACTTATCATTGAGATAATTTTAATACCCTTACTTCTTATGGGGTGTGCAAAATCATATTAGAATTGGAGGATTCAGGACTGTTAGGGAAAAAGAACAGGAGGAAAGATTTCCATATACGAAGTTCACTGATTTTCCTCTGTATTGACTAACAAGCCCCCAGATAGCAATTTCATGTCATCAAAGTCAATTTGAGCAGTGAGAAAATACAAGCATTTTCTTAGAAAACAATTAGAATTTTTCAGTCCAATCTCATAGGTTTTGTACACAGGGTGTTGAGTGAACTTTGTATATGAAAATCTTTCCAGAACGGGAACCTAAGTGTCTTGCAATGATTCAAAGGAAAAACTGAATTATGCATGACTTGGCACCAACCCAGCTAGGAAAAAAAAATAAAAAAATACGCGAACTGTTCATTAGATTTCAACATTTGCACAGTCTTTTCTCTACACATGTACACTTTTTGTATTCGGTTATGAATCATGAGTCAGGTACTGCAGCAGTCACTGTACGAGCTGTAAACTAATATGACTCAGTTTGATTGGCTGGTGACATCACAGTGTCAGGTTACACGTGTACATGAACGTGTACCAACTACACATGTCTGTACACATGTGCTCCATTCACGTGAAGAAGATCACCCTTAATTTATGTGCAACTGGTGGCAAGACGCACACAGTGTACGTATAAAGGGAAGGGGGGGCGCACAAAGAAGGGCACAAATGGGAAACCATGAACATTACAATTTCATGCAATGCACAGTATGCATAGAATCAGCAAGCATTGTATTGTTTTAACATAAATCAACATAAATGCACATGTGCATGCAATTAAAAAGAAAATACAACAGACATTTTGTGTTGGGAATTTTCGCCCAAGACATATTTAGTCAAAGCTTTGCACTGCTTTCCACTTCCAGAAAAAAGGTAAGATCTGCACCAATATTAATCCATCATAACATTCTTCGAAAGAATGCGGGGTGTTAACCAGGCTTCGGTGGTCTGCAGATCAGACGTTTACATGCAAACGTCTGATACATCCGTGCATGTAAGTTGTGTGCGACTCCACACACCAGCCAATCGGGGCCGTCTTTAGAAGTTGTCACGTCATTTAGAGCAGGTATATTCAGCCAAAGCTGTTGATTGGTCAATAGGTGCCACTTTTTGTTTCTCATACCACATTGGATTATTACCAAAGGCACGATAGCAGGGGCCTGCTGATTGATAAGAATCTGGGTAAACATGAAGTGTTCATGTAGGGCCCCTCTTTAGTTTTGATCAAATTAGTGTCAAATGCAGACAGGGCTCTGGAGTGCTCTGAAACGTGCAAAACTAAATCAGGCCAGCAAATTTCTCCAAAAATTCCACTGGGGCAAAGAAAATGTCCTCAGCATTTCACCTACCAAGTTTGCAGACTCAATTCAATTTTTAAAGGAGACTTTTCTTCAATATTTTGCACATGAGAGGGAAGTCAAGTGATATCAAAATGGGGCTAAATACTAAGGCCTTTTCACACTGTCCAAAATCTCCGGGTTGGAAACGGTTCCAACCCCGAGATTTTTTTCAACCCTTTTCCCACTTCTAAAATTTCAACCCGGTTCCGACCCGGGTAGAGTGCTCTAGCCGGATCGAAATCAACCCTGGGAGGGACCAGGGTTGAAAATCTCAACCCGGATCGAAATTACATTTTTCGGCGTGAACCGTGTCGAAAATGATAGTGTGAACCGCCCCGGGTTGAGTCACTCACGGCCGATCCGTGTTGAGTTGAGGCCAACATTTTACCGAAAATCTGACACGCCGTGCATAATATTTCCCTCCACCACTATCGCCGTCACAAACACCGATCCCGAAACAATCGCTCCCTAATTATCATCCAATAATGTATCGGTGTATGGAGCATCCTTTACCGAGTCTGGGCTTGTATTAGGTCCGCAAAATGTACCCCAAAAATGTACATTTCTAATGTTAAATAGAACGAATCGTCTAACGAAATGACCGGAGCCATTTTGGAAATATTGCACACAGCTGCGCTGGTGTCGTACAAAAATCGGACTCCCAAATTGGATTCGTTTACTCTCTTATTATTGGTCAAACCCTTTCACGTGACAGGTCCTTCTCCTAATAGGCATGCGCAATACTACCAATGAGTCCGTATTTCACAGAGTAGTAAATTCACGCTGCACACCGGCCTGTCCGGCCGTAAGCGCAAGCCTCGTGCGCGCAGCAGCCGCGTGCGTCGCAATGCATTATGGGATTGAGAAAATCATCGCAGCGCCCTGTGCCGAATGCGATCCGTGTCGAGAATTTGTAGTGTGAATTCACAGGGGCCGTAGCCGGATTGAACGTTACACGGTTCACGTAGCGGCAGTTCCCGTAAAGGACAGTGTGAACGTCGCGTCTCTCCGATCCGTGTCGAAAAATACTCGGGCTGAACCGGGTTGGATCCGGGTAGGTTTCAACACGGTTCGAAACGGAGATAGTGTGAAAAGGCCTCTAGACTGGTACATGTCCATCCATGGTCCAACTATTTGAAAAGACTGACCTCTTCAATCAGTGTCAATAGTCTGGTGGCCTGACTATGGAGAAATGTGTAGTAAATTGAGACTAGTTCCCACTTCATGCCACATGTTTCTTAAATTCTTTTGGCATGGTTGATTGATGTAAGCTGTGTTGGACTGGTTGTTTTAGGTGCCAGTCTATTTTCTTGTTTTACATGTTTTCAATAACTTAAGTTTTGGGACTCTCATACACAGTATTGAGAGTCCCAAATTTTCGGATTAGAGTCAATGGTGTTTTTTATCATTCGAAAATGGCCTTTTTAACCTAAAGCAGACTTCTCTCTATTGTAATGACACCTTTCTTTTTGTAATTTTGAACAGTTTCTTAGGGTAGAAATTGCGATTTTCGTATGCGGTTTATGGTTGGTGCTGTGCGACTCAGCGCATTCAGTATTACATGTTCCCGGTACATCACAGTGATCGCTTTATTTTCGTGTTGCGTTTTGTTGTCGTCATCGTCGTTTTACCCCCAAATTTCCCTCAAAAATTCAAAACCCTGCCCTCTATCTATGACATGCCTGCACGTTCTTAATGTCACCAACTCCTATGCAAGTCAAATGAATTAAGAGTGGGTTTTGTTCTCTTATAGGGAACAGGACCCTACACTACACAATCGCCAAAATCTGTGTTGTTTTGCATATTCTGCAGTCTGCACGTATATCATACTAGACGTTTGGCGTACAAGCACCCATTCCATAGAATAAGTCTTTGGTGGCATGTTCTAACAAAATTGGACACACTCCTTACTCCTTAGTCCAACATCAATTTTTTTTATTTTAAACATTCAATTTCAGTTTTTCCACCCATTTTTATGAAAACATCAGCACAAATTCAATCTTAAGGGTGTTGTTTTTCAAAACTCACACATGTTTTTCTTGTTAATGTTAGGCCTACATGTAGTTATTGTTAATAACTGCATATATTTTTTTCTTTTCTAATTCTGTCAGGATCATTTTATCAGGATGTGGGTAAATTCACAGACAAAACTCAACAGTCTTCAGAGAATCGAGTTGATTTCAAAACAAAAATACATTTTTAGACCATTTCTACCATGTCTACTAAATTCGGCGATCGTGTAGTGTAGGGCCCAGTTCCTAGTATAAGGGAACAAAATCCACTTTAAAATTATTGGACCTACCAAACTAGTTGGCGATATTCTCAATAAACAGGTACGTCATCATAGATAGAGGGCAGGGTTTTGATTTTTTTGAGGGAAACTTGGGGGTAAAATGACGATGACAACGCGGCGACAACACGTGACCCAAAAATGAAGATGGCGATCACCACACAATGTACCGTGAGCACGCACGGCGCGCTGAATCGCAAGGCACAAACCGCGCAGGAAAATTGTGATTTCTACCCAAAGAATCTGTTCAAAATTGCAAAACGGGTGTCATTAGAATTGAGAAAAGTCTGATTTTAATTGTAAAGGTGATTTTTGACCAATAAAAAACATGTTTGACTTTAATTTGTTCAAAACAAAACAGGGGCCCTATACACTTCACGATCGCCCTAAATTCTAAAATGTCTAGAAATTGTATGTTCAGCCCAAACTGTCAGATGAGAAAATTTACAAGTTATTTACGAGCGTTCCATTGGAATTTTTGTGAAAATTGTAGCTGCAAACTTAAGGTACATTGTACTATGCACAAGTTAGTATTTCAATTGAATGATCATCATGATTTTGTAGAATGGAATCACGTGATGTATAATTTGTAGGGCCGGCCAGTTCAACATGTTCCTCCAATAATGACATAGCTAGGCCTAGGCCTAAAATTTATAATTATTTTACATTGCTCGTTTTGCGCTGATACTTAAAGCAACCAAATGCTTTAAAAACCGTCAAACATATTGATTAAATGAACAAACATTTCCCGTTGTATGGGGTTGGCTTTATAGTTTTGTTGGGTCTACAACAAAAGTCATCTGACTGTACCGTACTGCACAAACAAACGCACCCACACAAAACACATGTGACATGCCGCTAAAAAAAAAGACGAGGCCTAGTCTCGATCAAAGAAAAAAAACGACGACACGCAAAAAAAAAAGGCTGGCTACATATTCTGAAATTTGCAGGAAAAATATCAAATATAAAAAGACTAACATGATAGATATGGAGCAAGGGGTTATTCTGAAGGATAAGACAATGATTTGGCGCGATTTTGTCCCCGTGATCGAAGAAAAGATTTTCGACAGATCAACAATTGAGTGTAGGAAGTGCTCGCGTTACGCAGTACAATTTCATTGACAAAGTCGTTGCCGTTGTTAGAGAAAAAACTTTGAAAAGCTGGCAAGATCGCCTCCGATGAACACCACCTACCTTACACAAGTAAATCAGGTCCTTCTTTCCCCTACTGTTTTAAAAATTCATCAGCAAATGAGAAGAACACTTATCTAAAAATGAAGTAAAAAAACTTTCTGTTGTGTTTTCTCTCAGTTTCAGTGGGAATCCCGCGTGCACATGCACACACATAAAATAATGCATGACATGCATGTGCGTGATGTCAAACACAATCGGGTTCGTTCTGCGCAGTTATGCTCCTGCGATTCCTTTGAGAAACCCGTCTTCTAAAGCGCCCTCTCTCATCACTCATCGGGGTTTTTTTTCGGGGGGGGCGGTAAGTGAATGCTCAAAAAAATGGGGGGGGGGATGAAACAATAATAATATTCTATCAAATTCTGCTTCACCGTTGTAAAACAACCCTCTTCTATACTGTGCATATAATATTTATGTATTCTTCATCATTGGAAAACATTATTTTGAATAAAATAGGGTCTATGCCTAAATGTAAAACTTATAACTATCCACGAGTCTGACACTGTGACAGAATTCTTTCAGCCTATGATCAGCATTGTAAAAATTCATCTGAAAACGAGGAAAAAACTTCTACCTTGAAAAATGAAAAGTAATAAAGTTATGAATTTCGACTTGCTCCTGAACCGCAAACTGAATATTAAGTGCGATATTCATAATGATATGGTCATTAATTTTGCAAAATTACCCAAAAGTTATATCCCAAAAGATTAAGACCAGCGCAGCCTATTTACTGAATTATTATTATTTTAAAAAAAAGGATTACCGTGGAGTTGTGGAGTTATTCCATCTGGTTAGCTGCCATTAGACTGTACAGTGTACGTGATTTCCAACGACCAGTCGACTGATTTTTTTAATTAGGGGTGCTAAAATTGACGAAATTTTCCGCGTGCTTCGTGTTGATAAAAACAGTAGGTTGTGCATAAAAATAATTCACTGTTTTCTCGAAAGTGACGGGTTTTGAGCATCTTCTTTAGATTTTGAGTGTGAGTGGTATTATTCGGGTAGCGAACAAAATTGAACAACGGGGTAAATCTGTGTCGACAATTACAAGTGGAGGTAGGCCGGGGTACGGGTGCGGGCCTGATTAGTAAAATTGCCCGGCCGCCTGAAAATTCGAATAGCGGGATCGGGGTGGCCGGGGGGGGGGGGAGTATGGGGGGGGGGGGGGTCGCTGGACACCACATTACACTAGGACCGCCGGACGCCGTTCATGATACATGTACATGTACATGTACATGTAATTACTATACACGTAGTTACCGTCAAAACGGCGCATTAAAAGCGTTTGTACTTAAAACAATACATCAAAACACGCATTGTTTGTTTCTCATCACAAAAAAGCCATGAATGAGGGATGATCCATCCAGTGGCCCACACGATCAAAAAATGGGGAGAAGTATATATTCTCCCCCACCCCACCTCCCGATTTACGCCCCTGAAAGCACCAATATTTATGTCTTGAAAGTCAGTTTTAACGGTTGCTCTTATATACAGCCCACTTGGAGCTCACTGCGAAACAATAGTATTTTTTCAATTGCTGTATTTCCTAAAGTTATACAGAAGTTATGAGATATTGTGTATACTTGCTCCAAAAGTATTTAATAATGGGACCATGTGCGGTGATTGTTTTTCGGGCGAGTCATTACTCGCACGAAAAAAATCCCCGCATTACTTAAAAGTAAAACTCGGTTGCGCTTTTAACATTCGTGATCATAATTATTACTAAAGAAAGTAGCTAGTGTAGCTCTCGAGAAACCGCACATAATCGCACATAGATCCTAAACCTTTCATCGAAGTATTCTGAAGGGCACAATACCCGTTTGTGTTTTTGCAGGTGGGCCATTCCCCTTTCTTTGTCCAATAGACAGTCCCTTTGTCATCTTTGCGTTTTTCAAGAACTATGGTGCGGGCGGGATCCCCCCCTCCCCCAACTGGCTGAGCTGAATCAGCTGTAATTAGGATCCCCCATTGTAGATGCGCGTGCCTCATTTTGCGTTGACAACATTAACAATCAAGCTGGAAAAAAGTGTAAACAAAAGCCACCAATTAGGTGACATTTTACTTTCGAATGGAAAGCCCCACTGTAAGTTCTCGGAGCACGCCCCCCCCCCCCCAATCGTCTCCATGTGAAATTGCAAGTGCGCCCTCAATCGGATGTATTAACTTAATTAAAAACGTGTATTTTATGTCAAATATTCAGGTCATTGATTTCCCCTTTTGCTATCATACTTTTTATTAATTTACCAAAAATTGTGAAGATTTAATTTTGATTTTTACCACATTTATTGTTTTAATTTTATCAATAGCAACATGGAGGAATTTATTCCTCCATGATAAGCAGTGAGCTCAACTTTGATTGACATGTACTGTACGTTGAAAATACTATTTAACGTTACCATGGAGAAGGTCGCCGACCCGGCGCGCGCTGATGTGTATGTAAAGTTGGTGCCTAGGCCCTGGCTGACTAGTGACTCGATCGACTCGACAGATTTTGCTATAGATTTCCTCGAAGACGTCGTCGGGAAAAGATTTTCAAGATGAGTAAGAATGCATATCATTGGGAGGCGAGATTTAGACAGCGTCAGGTGGACAAGGCGAACGCTTATAGGCAGCGAATGGCCGAACAAGAGGTACTTTTTGTTAATAAATGAAACTTGTTTTTGACATTGCTTGATCTTGATGAACTTGAACTTCACTTTTTGACACTTCCATTTCATTTCATTTCATTCATTTCATTTATTATTTCGCAGGTCAAATTTACAATGGGTAAAACAAAAAAATTAATATTACAGACAGTATAGACATAAAAAAAGACATATATAGTTTCAAGCTTACACATAAAACCTTATTTGCGCCTATCAAATATTCAGTTGTGTTTTTAATCTATTTTCCAGTTAGATTTATAGAAACTATTAAAACTAGTGTAATTTTATCCCTTACAATTTACAAACTGAATTTGTAAATTTGTAATGACTGCATCTGAAGTAACGTCAGGCTGAAAAAGTAACATTTTAGTTTTCTTGCTTTGAATTGATATCAATTATCATTCTGAAAATAAAATCAAACTGAAACTTTAAAGGCATGTCTTCCTTTTTTCCGTTTTTAGAGTGTTTTATTATGATAGTGGATATTTTGCCGGAGGTAATGACGGCAAACTAACGTTTACCAAAGGTTTGCCGGCGGCAATCCATATCAACAGAGGGCGCTGTACTCTTCAAGATAGAGCTGAATTATAAGATGTATTAAATTCCCACCAAAAGTTGTGTAGCACGTTTGGTGTAGTGGTTAAGCAAAGGCTCTAGTAAGCGGGATGACTCGGGTTCGATTCAGACCGCATCACATTTTTTGAGTTTTTTTTTCTCATCCCCAAATAAATAAGAATATTCTTCTTTTATTATTTTAACATGTCTCAAACATTTTTTTGCAAAGTATTACATTTTCTTTTTCAGATTTGTGGCTCTGGAGGATTTTTTTTAAAAGGGAAATATAGTCCGAAATTATAAAATGGTCTGAAATCCCATCTTGTGAATACGAGGTTACAACGATAATTTTGGCATGGAGCCAGACTAAAATTTGTCACCGGAAAATGTTTAGAGTACAAAAAAACGGTAACTGCGCATGTTCAGTGCATATCCGGCAAACTAACGTTTACTAAAGGTTTGCCGTCTCCGGCAAAATATACACTGCCTTTTATTATCATTTCAAAATAAATTCTGCAACCATTGAGCAGTTTCATTTTAAGGTAGTTTTATTAAGCAGTTTATAAAGCTTCTGACATATCTGATGTGATGCCGCAAACTGTTTCATGGAAAGCGCCATCTTGAAATATTTTTGCAATCACGTGATCTCTTGGCGGGCTCACATTACACTGATGTCCCGGATGTCTGAGTGTGTAATATAGGATTCACGCGGCAGTACGCAATTATCTTTGGAACATCATATTTTTTCCTATTCCAGGATAGGCCTAGGCCCTACATATTTTCGAAAAAAATCTGTAAAATGGAAAGATGAGGTTTATTGCCGGGCCTGTGTGCGCACTGGCCGGTCAACATATGGCCCAGACAGGGCTCTGGAGTGCTCTGAAACGTGCAAAACTAAATAAGGCCCACTTTACTCACAGTTTAGCCAGCAAATTACTCCAAAAGTTCCACTGGGGCAAAGAAAATGTCCTCAGTATTTCACCAACCAAGTTTGCAGACTCAATTCAATTTTTAAAGGAGACTTTTTTTTCAATATTTTGCACATGAGAGGGAAGTCAAGTAATTTCAAAATGGGGCTAAATACTAGACTGGTACATGCCCAACCATGGTCCAACTATTTGAAAAGACTGACCTCTTCATTCAGTATCAATAGTCTGGTGGCTTGTCTATGGAGAAATGTGTAGTAAATTGAGACTAGTTCCCGCTTCATGCCACATGTTTCTTAAATTCTTTTGGCATGGTTGATTGATGCAGTACTGATGTTGGACTGGTTGTTTTAGGTGCCAGTCTATTTTCTTGTTTTGCATGTTTTCAATAACCTAAGTTTTGGGACTCTCATACACAGTATTGAGAGTCCCAAATTTCGGACTACATATGGCCGTACCATGCACGGTGTTATCGTTTCAAAATAAAATCGTTGTCTTGGCACACTACATTGCAGGCAGAAGAGGAACGAATAAGGAGCGAGTTAGCAGCGAAACAGGCCCGGGAGAGACAACAGCAAGAGCAGGCCCGTAAGGCGGCCCTTCAAGAGCAAATCCAATCCAGGGATAAGAGTGGCATGAATAAATCCTACAGGGAACGTGAGCAGTAAGTCATCACTAAACACTGAATAAATAACATTAATCCATGCATCTGGTACATGTATTCAAGGAACTGTGACATTTAAGACACTCCTTCATTGTTGTTCGTCCTCTGTTATTTGTGACAGGACTTGTGAATTAATTTATGATTTCACAAGATCCGTTACAAAGTACCTCCGGTGTAGCATGAATTGAGGTTTTATGAAATACGGACTCATTGGTGGTATTGCACATGTTCATGAATAGATAATTAGGAGAGGGACCGGTCACGTGAGAGGGTTTAACCAATAAAAGGGAAAAAGAGTCCGATTTTCATACGAGTCCGATTTTCATTTGACACCGGTACAACCAAATCCATTTGGCTTTTTATTTGGTCAACTAACATCTTCAATTTTCATCACTCTAACACAAGACATTATCATCATCATTTTTTTTATATTGTAATCATTTGCAAATCACACTTAACTTCATCATCTTTGTCTGTCCACCCAAATGTAAATACCTAGCCTATAGAAATATAGGTTCATCATAAAGAAAAAAAGGGAGTAAATCCTTTTTTAAAAGCAAATTATGGGCCCCATTTTCAAACATTAAAAAGCTAAACTGCCATAATTTATCCTACCTGATTGTAAATAAATAATAGGATCAAGCGTCCTGTGAAATCAATGCGCATAGTGTGCTGTCATTTCCAAGAAAAGAATTACCATCGATTCCTCGCGCTGAATAGGCCCATCACCAGGGGTATGAAATCTCAGCTTTAAAGCTGATTTCAGTTTTTGTGTGTGTTGGATTTCAGCTTTTTTTCAGCTTTTTCCATCACTTGCTGTGTACAAAAGTATAGGAGATTTCCAAAGTTCAGTTTTTTTTACACCTTTTTCAGCTGTTTTATTCAGCTATTTTTATCAGTGGTCACTCACCCCCCTGCATCACGGCGGTAAAAAAACCCAGTTTTTTTTCCCTATACTGTCCCAACTGAATGAATTTAATTTAATTTAGTTTGCGATTGATTGCATATCTGTGAATGAGTATTATTTTTCCCATGTGACAAACTTGGGAGCAATTTACAAGAGGGTGCAAGTCAAAACGTATTAATTACCATTTTGGAGGGGGGGGGGGGCTTTCAACTTAGCGTCAAGAAAAATAAAGCTGCATTTCCACACTTTCTCATTTACTGAGCTGAGGCCAAAAGAAAAAAACTTCTACTTCCGGTTTCCCTACCTACCCTATTCTGACAGCCCCTACCCTTATGGGAACAATGACAAAAAATATGATCGTACACATGATCGTATACAAAAAAAAATTGGCAAAAAAACAAAACTCCCTACCTACCTACACTATTTTCAAATGCCATGTAATCGGAAGCAGAACTATTTTTTTCTTTTTGGCCTGAACTGTTGACTGTTTAGTTTTTTAATAACCTGCTTCACATTTATTGTATCGTTGTTCCTTGAATCGGCATATATTATCATTTTTTGAAAATGGTGTCTGTTTACTTTATTGGAGGTGGGTACTACAATGGGGAAAGGGGATGCGAGGACAATATGTCCAATAAAAACAGACAATAAAAACAGGAACTTTAAAGTTAAAATTGGCTGTTCCATGTATACCTCTCGCTTGTGCATAGTTCACCCAAGTTGCACTGTTTAATGGCAGCTTTTTGGCATTGTAAATCACTCACCCCCATCATGGCTGCCCACATGCTTTCCACACTTTTAAGTCCCCCATCCGCCACCCTCCTTCCCCCCCCCCCTCACTGCATCCCAGATGCACACAGTGACACACCCACATTTCCTTCTTTCTTTTCCTCTTCTATTTCTTTCCTCTGCTCTAGGTCCAAGTCAAGTAAAAAGACGTACCATTACCAGCAAGGGAACAAAACACTAACGGTGGAGATGTAACACTGTTGTGAGATCATCTAAAAAACCTTACACAAACCCTAAAAGTTACATGTGGAATAAAGAGCTTTAAACTCATGCCTCTTCAGAAAGCAATGATATCAAAAAGTAGGGCCCAATCAGATACCGGTACATTGACTTCAATAGTCCTCTGTTATAAATACATGTAATTAAATAGGCCATTCAATAAATTTAGGGTCCAAAGTGTGACATTTTTCCTGTTCCTGCTTTAGTAAGAATGATTTCATACATTTGTTTTATTGGTTTGGTAGATACTTTCCTATTCATTGCCACTCCTGGGGGACTATAACCCCAAAGAGTTCATTTGGGGTGAAGTACCACTCATACCCTGAAGTAGTGCATACTACAGTTTACAACTAGTAGTATTTTGTAGTTTTAGGTGAGGTTCCCCCCCCCCCAGGGGCTGCCCCACCCAAGACGTGTTGATTGTCACTTTTGAAGCAACAAAATCCCCACCCCTCGGGCAAAATTTAAGTGACAATCCCTGACCATGCCCCGACATACATACGTGGTTCGCACTCAATTGCCTTTCCATGTAGTACGCCAATGTTAACAATGTAATTTGAGTGACCAAAATCCCCACCCTGGGGCATGAAAAACGTCGGACATCAGACCTGGGAGGGGGGGGGGTATTTGATAGGCGCATTAGGGTTAAGGAGTGCATCAGACTTATAAAACCATACCCAGATGTAACACTAACAGAGACAGGAAAAAAGGGGACCCAAATTTATAGAATGACCCATATTTGTTTTATGAGATAAAAATTGCATATAATTATTCAATCATGTCACAATGCCATTTTTAAATCTAATTGATTTTATAAAATGTTGATTGTCAATTTCAAGTGTCGATTTCAAATTTGCGGTTAAAATTCATGAGCAGCAAATGAAACTGGTGTATCTACAGAAATCAATCAGCTTGTTTTGTAGCCATCAGATAACTGGAAAACTGAAGTACAAGTTCAGTAGTTTTTCCCTGCCTTTTAACATAAAAAAACTTGCTATTCAGTAAAAACATTCTTCAGAACGCAAGCTTGAAGTTATGATAGGCATTTTCAAGAAGACCACGAATCTAACTAAAAAATAATCAATGCAAGAAATAATATAGGCTGTCCTTTGTTTTTCTCATTTATACATTTTAAGTTGCATTTAGTTTTTCAGTGTGATATATATTGTACAGATAATTGTTCATGAAATATATTTTATACTGGTTTCCATCTCTCATGATATTTTTTATTAACTCCAGTTCGCCAGTTTCCATTTGTTCATAAGGGAGATTTTAAATATTGTGTAATATTTTAAATATTACACTAAAAGAGAATGCTAACGTATTTTTAAACTTCTGTTTAATTTGGTAGTTAGAGGTAGTACACAAATCATGCTAGTCGTTAAATGCTGATGTTTGACAAACATTTAAATTTCTCATAACTTCATAAAAAAAAAGCGGTGAATGCTGTTTTTATAATTGAAGAGCAATAAACTATGCCATTCGTTCTTCTGTAATTTCTAGCTTGGGAGATTTTCATTATTGCAGAACTGTCCTTCACTAGTTCACTTGTGTCAGTGCTTTAGATTTTTCCCACACCAGACCTAAAAGAGCTTAACCAATTGGTATTGATGTTGGTTTGTATGGTCACATTTTTCGCAAAACACTCCACAAGTTTGCACGATCATTTCACAACTTCTGCTGTTTGCATCACAGCCACTGGTGAGTGCTCATTTCATTTTATTATTTCTCCCTTGATATTATTGCTATTATTTTTGTTGACACGGTTATTTCTGTCATCTCGCTTCCACACCAATCATCTTTCCTGTGGGCTTCAAATGGTAACACTAACTCATCATCTGGGCACATCCTTAATCACAATTTATGTTCTTGGCAAGTTTTAATGAGATGTTGCCCCATGATAACACACTCAACCAAAAAGGAAAGTCCCCCTTCCAATACCTTTTTGTCTAACTCAAAAACTACTGAGCACCTCTTGCTCAAATATCGACTAATCAGCACAGAAATTCCTTAGCAATGCAGCCATAATCTTTATTGGCCCAAAACAGTGAGTATGGCTGGATTGCTAAGGAGTTTCTGTACTGATCAGTCATAATTTGAGCAAGATGTGCCCAGTAGTTTTTGAGTTAGACTAAAAAGTATTAAGGGGGACTTTCTTTTTTGGTTGAGTGTTTTTTAAACATGGATGCTCAATCAAGGATTCATGTGAGATACTGTGTATATAAAAACAAACTTAATAGCCTAAACGCCAATGTTGCCAAGTCACCACCCTTTCCCTTTAAGTGTAAGTGTTCTTTCAGCAGAACGAAAACAAATCACATAGGGATGTGTGTGAATTGTTTTCGTTTTGCTGAAAGAACCCTTACCTTTTTTGGTGATCCGTGGACAGAACTTTAAAACGGTGTTTGTTTTTAAGCTTCCGTACTTTGAGTGATTTGAATGATTCTTGTAATAAAGGAAGCTTATTAATTGGGCTTTCATATCAAAGTGCTACACGCTGCCCATCATTTAAAAAAAGGTCCTGACATTTGGGTTTCCTTTTTTTTATTACTCATCTTGTATTACAAGAAAGGAAATTGAAAAGGATGGGATAAAACTGACACTAGGAAAATATGTACACATTGTCTCCCATGAGGAAGTCATCTCAATTGTTAATAAAGCAACCCGACTCTTCGCTACATTTTGTTCATCTTGTTTTTCCTGCAGGCAACTACAGCGTTTACTGCAGGAGCGACGCTGGCACAACGACATGATCAAGCGAATGGAGGAAGGCGAAAGAACCCAACTGCACAGCGACGCCCTGCGAGACCACCAGAGCAAGTCAAAAGTCTTGCGGGACCATGGATTGTACCGCGGTGACCCATCGTTCTTCCTAGATCCCGAATACTCTTGAAAAACACTAGGACTTTTACATGTACATAGAGGGCGCTATTTCGTTCCACTGGGTATATACCCCCGTTTCATTTCTCAAACTTATTAAGGGTGCAACCCAGTAAATATGCCCAAAAAAATCCATCCGCAGAGCTTATGATAGAAGACAGGTGCATACCTATGTTCCCCAATACCGATGTTCCCCAACCCAAACCCTATTCCTAAGGAGTTTGGGGTACACACCTCTGGCCTGGATTTGGGGCTTTCAATTCTGAGCAAAGTGGCGCTATTTAGCCATGTTGTCAAGGCCGGGGTCCTTTTTCAAAATGGCCACTTTTCCAGTTTGGGAAATATTCGTTTTAGGGGTGGTCTTTTTTGGTTGAGAATTTCTCAAAAAGTCATTGTTCAACACACCAAAAATTGAAAAAAAAAAATTAAGACGACATGTTGATCATCATTTTTTCAGTGCAGACTGAACTCCTGTGAGAGTTTTGAGTATTTTTAGAAGAATTTTGAAGTACCGGTATGGGGATTTATCACTGCAGGTGTCGATGGGAATTTACTTACTTGGTTGTACCCTTAAGACAAAAATAAGTCATAAGAATAAAGTACATGTACATAGAGGGCGCTATTTCATTCCACTGGCTACTTAATTTCATTTCCAAAATTGACCCTAAAGGGGGGGGGTCCCCCCCCTTCAACTTTTTTCTCCCGACCCAAGCTTTCCTGACTTGTAAGCCTCGAGTCTTGCGCTTCTTTTGATGCCAAATACATAAAATTCCGACCATGGGTTACTGCGCAGCGAATTTTTTTCCCCATATATGTGTTGTACACGAAAGCAAATTACCATTGGTGCATAATTAATTAGCCGATAACTCCAAAACCCTTCAACCTATAGTCATGAAAGTTCTTGGGTATGTTCATTTTGAGTTGCTCTATGCATGCACCAAGTTTCATAATTTTTCGTCACTCGATGGCCGAGATCCGAGTGTGTGGGGCGGACCCCCCCCCCCCCCCCCCCCCCCGCCGGCTGTGAGATGGTCAAAATAACCCGGTCCTTTTAGGGTTAAGACACACATTAGTCATAAGAACCATGGTATGCAGTCACACCTGGATTTTTTTTGGCAGCCTATTATTGGTTCCCGACATAGAAACACACAGGGTCCTAGTCTTGAAACTGTAAATAAAATTTAAACAATAATTTGGAAAATGAGATATTAATTTTGGTGCACTTTCGTTTGTCTTACATTTTTGAACAAAACAAATCACAACAAAACAAAACCGCACGAAACAAATCAAAATAAAACAAAATAAAAACGAAATTCCCCGAAAAACGAAGAAAAAATGTTGAAAGTTAATAAGATACTGGCATGCTAAATTTGTCATGCCATAAAACCCACCCAAAAAGCAACCTGCATGCTAGCTTTTAATGTTTTGTACAAAAATTTAGAACAAAGTGATAGCTTGATATATTTTTGTTTGCATATCCTTTTACACATACATTGTTATTTTTTGTAATAAGTGTGTTATTTTGTTGCGGCTTTGCCCAATTTTTTTTTTCAAGTTTGTAGAATGATATAACAGTTAACAAAGCCTTGTATTTTGGGTGTGCTGAACTATTGAATTTTATTTATGCAAACTGTTTTAATTTGTTTTTCTAAATTAAAGTCATCGGCATTGATCATGTTTTAGAAGTGAACATGAAGCACAAATATTTAGCTCAGTGTTATCGAGGCTTTGGGTTCAAGTGCATCCCGCCGAGTGCCTTGTTGTTTTATTCATAAATTTGCTTTCCTTAAATATTAAATGTTTTGTTGTAATTTTTGTAATCACACCGAGCTTACCTAAATATGTATGCATTTTGTTTTACAATGAACTTTGAACTACTAAATATCAACATTTCCATTAAAAAATGTTCTTAAACAAATGTTGTTTTTATTTTGTAAAGCCATCACTGTTTCCCCCTATGCTTTCTTTAGCCAGTTTGTTTTCATGTAACCTACAACATACCATGGCTACTTCTACGTATGTTCTGCCGAAATAAGATATGCTTGGGAAATCATTTTTCATCGAAAAAAATATTAACTTTCAAAATGTGTGATTCCAACTATACAATGCGAGTGTGATTATGCACGGTTTAAGTGTTATTAAAAAGAAATCTTGTAAACCTGAGGTGGTGTTAACTCCAATAGTTTCTTGTGATGTTGATGTATAATATTCATTGTCTGTCATGCTTCATAGGCGTACAACCAGCCGGGGGGGGGGGGGGTGAGTGAAGGCTTGCTCCCAGACCCCTCCCCGGAAAGTTTTGAAATATCTCCTGCATTCGAAGGCGATAACAAGTTGAGAATAAATTCAAGAACATTAGGCCAAATAAAAAAACAAACATATTTAGCGTCCTGCCTTTTTGGAAAATAAGGAAATGGGAGGCCCTTTTTAGTCCCCTCCAAAATGGCCGCCCAACCGGGCTATTTTTCAAGATGGCTGCCAGGTGTTTTTTTTAATGGCCGCCATTGGACTCGGGGAAATGACATACTTGCAAAAAGAGGCCAAAATGATGTCACTGTTTAAAATCGGTTAAAAAAAAGAAAAAAGAGGCTGCCTCCAAATAGGAAGCGGGCGGGGACGCTTAACATGTTTTTGGGGGGGTTTATTTGGCCTTAGCATGCCCTTTATTAGTTTTTGTCCCATTTTAGTTAACGACTTTTGGGGGTGGGTGGGGGGGGGGGGGGTTACACACCTACAACACATAAAGGTCAATAATGTCCCCCTTTCTCGTCGCTTATAAATGACTTTGTATTATCTATGGGTAAATTTGTGCCAAAAGATCAAAGATGATGGATATTGACTAAACGACATGATACTTACTGCACATGGCAGTAGTGTTTATCTTGTTCTTTGTGGAACTGCCATATTTTTTTAGTTGGGGAATATAGAATTTTATGGGGGGGCCTCATTTTTTTTTATAATGATCGTTTAAGGTAAGTTTTTTTAACAGATGTGGTAAGCAGTTTGCCTTTAATGACAAACAAGTTCTGCTGCAGATTTCTTTATTTGGTAGCCTAAGGTGAAATGTCTCGATGGTTACTCTAACTTTATTCAATATATTTAAATGTCATTTATTAAGAAAACTAAAAAAATCATAACCACTTTGATTTACAATGAATCAAAACATCAACAAAACCAAACTATATTGTACAGGGTAAATACTGTCGGTTGCTTCTTGATCATTTTTTTTCTTCAAAAGTTAATTTAAATTTTACCATTAAAAAATAGATCTCTGCAAAATTTACCTGAAAAAAGTATATCAGCCTCACATACAAAATGTGTCACATTATTAATACTGTTATTAAGGCAGACATCTGAAGGGTTTCATCCCAAATTCAATAACAATTACTAAAAAACGAATTAAAAAAGTGTAAATTTCCTGAGTTTAATTGACAAAAGGCTAATTTCAGATAATACTGCGTCCTGGTTACATATTCATGAATATCAAACTTTTTCTATCATAATTATTTTCTACATAATTATTAACTTCCTCAGTACATTAAAATACAATACCGATATGTACAAATCAGTATCGGTTAGAAAGGAATTAGTGAATTAATAAATAGCTTTTGTTAACGTTTGTTACAGAATTTTTTTTGTACTTCTTTTTGAAAAATCTAAGGTAGGCTCATGAAAAAGACGAGTACATTTAAAACACAAAAAAATTGTGTTGTCTAGTTTGCTTTGGAATTCAAACAGAGTGACAATATTCATATTGCATAGTATTTTCCCTGTGAAAATCAAAGTCCTTTTCAATTATTGTTTGTTGCCAGCTGCTGGCGTAGGCAGGGTCATTCTCACCATGGGGGCGAAGGGGGGTGGGGGCGGTTGCCCAATTTCTATTTAACCCATTCACCCTGGTCACTTATAGGTCTAACAAATTTCCAGTGGGGGTGACAATTCTTTTAGGGGGGGGGGGGGGGGGCTGTGCCCCCACGACGTTCACACTCCCCCGCCTACGACGCACTGTTTGTTGCTCCCATATACAAACAAATTTCCACTAAAAAAATGGGGTCCATCTTATGATCGCTGTTGATAATTTCCTTAAAACAGTAAACACAATTAACATGAATCACTATGCAGACACGAAATGCGCTAATGTGTGTAATTAAGTTGTGATGTCATTCAAGGCAGAGTTCCCGGTACATCTGCTTCACTACTGAGCAAAACAAATCACATGAATTTGTGTTTTTTGCTGTGGTTGCTTTTCTATTTTTCGATGATTCATTGGTGTTTCAGTACATGACAGTACGACAATGACAAACCTTTATGTGCAAATATTTTCAATGAGCAACATTTTGAGTTTACCATTTGAAGAGAAAACCTCAATTCAAAGAGTCTGTTCCTAAAGTGACATCACAGCAACAGCGCCCTCGGTTGCCAGTAAAAGCATGAAACATTTTAAACATTTAAAAAAAGTTTACAATTTTACCCAAAAAGGGAGGTTTCATAGTTTGTATACATTTTCAGAGGAATGCATATTTGCAACACATGTATGTTCCAGTGTAAAATTCATTTCACTGGTCCCTCTAATAATAATAATATTTTTGACTAAATAATATAAGCACTACTTTCAAGTTTTGAATACACAAGTAGAATTACGGATTATAGACAAACTGGACCGGTACAGCTTTCACAAAAGTAACAGTATGGTCAATATATAACTCTTATTTCACAAAATGTTTAGCACTTGATTTTAGATTTATTCGAGCACATGCTTGTAGCACTTAACATATTCTTCTTTAAAAAGTCATCTTTGGTCCAATATTTATATCAAGCTTTGGCTTAACTACTTTGCCAGCAAAAGAAAGCAACCTCTATAAGCTGTAAACTTATACATTAATACTCCATATTATTATTTTTTTTTTACGCTATAGCACTGTAACATTTCTGTATATTATTTCGAAAAGTACAATTTCTTGGTTCTTGAGGGACTGTCTGCCAATCACATTCCTCACTAAAGAATATCTCAACTGTTTGAAAACCGTTATTTTGTCAGTGTTTCTCAAACATAAATTCAGAAAGACTGAAATTTTGCAGCCATTTCAAACTGGCTTCAAGAGTTCGGCTGAACCAAATAGTATTAAAAGTGACTCAGATCGACCCAAATAAGTCTTGGTTTCAGACAGGAATTATTATTTTTTTGAATTTTTGTTTTCCTGAACAAATTTCCAAACAATATACGATGTCCTTGAATGAACAGTTTTTTAAGGATTTGTAGGCAAGATCTCTTTAAGTCCGACTTTAGTCAAGTCTAAAAGCAGAATTGAAAAAAAAATGATAATTTAGCGTAGATCGATTTTGTTCTTTGTTTATAATATCATTGGAAAGTTCATTACTTCTGCTATGCTACCTAATGTTCATATGAATTTTGAAATTACTTTTTCAGGGTGCCACACCCAAAAAGCATGGGGACCCTCCCTTTAATTAAAATCTTTAAAACAAAACTGGTTTAGCGTGACTCTGAACATTACTATGAAATGGGTGTTTTTTTCAGAACAAATTTCAAACAATATGATGTCCTTGAATTAACAAATTTTTTTAAGGATTTGTAGGCAAGATCTCTTAAAAAAAAGTTTTGTTGCGCTTGTTTAAAGGGAATGTACAACATTTGCTTTTGCCGCAATTTTCAGAAATAAATGGATTTGGAGGATTATGTTATAGAAAATATTGTTAAAGTGACTCGTTTCACATTTTGGGTTTGTAGATGCTGGAAAAACCAAGAAAACCAATCATGTTCTTGTAGTCTGGTTCCCCGACCCCACTTAAGATGAAACGGAGCAATTTATAGACTTTTGGGAATTGTACTAAGGTCAGAGAATCAGTCTAGCAGGCTTGTACCCCTTCACAGGTGTGTAATCAATTGCAAAGAAAACAATGAATAACTAATTATGAAAAATTAGAAGTAGGTTTTGAAAAAAGCCAGTTTTCTCAAACGGCGTTGGAAAAATACCATTTTTCTTGAGAATGATAGCACACCAGGAGCCACTATATTACAGGATGCTTTAGACTGTCATTCCCTAACAATCCAGTAAGGTATTTCATGATAATTTGATCATTTCGTTTTGTGATGTTTGCAAATGTTGTATCTTCCCTTTAACAATCGAGCTGAAGTTAGACTTGGTCCGAGTCGGGCGCTGCGCTTGGTCTGTGCAGTATGCGTACACGTAGGCTACACACACTGAAGTGGTACGCGTGTTAATATGGCACTTATTGCACGTTGCAGGCAGGACATTGCTGATGGAATTCAGGCCTGGGTTGTGATGGCAGAGTGTATTTATGGGTATCAACTTAAGTCCGACTTTAGTCAAGTCTAAAAGCTGAATTGAAAAAAAATTGATAAGTTATGGCAGACTGATTTTTTTCTTTGTTTAATGTCTCATTAGAAAGTTCATAACTTCTGTTATGCCACCTGATGTTCATCATTTCAATTTTAAAATTACTTTTTCGGGGTGCCACACCCAAAAAGCATTGGGACCAGAGTGGAAGCTTTTGATGATGTTAACTACTTTGGTTGGGATATGAATCTTCAGGAGGATGGCCCATGAAGTCTTGGTTTACTGAGTCGAAGGCTTTGACAAGGTCTAGGAAAACCAAATGGGGCTGGTGGTGTTGCTCTCGGACCTTTCCTTTAATTAAAATCTTCCAAAAAAAGTGGTTTAGCGTGACTCTGAGCATTAGTATGAAATGGGTGTTACAGGCACAATGACAAAGCGCATTAACATACAAGCAAACACATACAGGGTGAGTCAAAAAGAAAGTGACCAAATTTGAAAAATAGTTTAAAAATATTTGGCTTGCTCCATTTCATAAAAAGAAAAATAGGGATGACGTATATCTTATTGACTTTTAGCTATGGAAATTTTAACGTTATTTGCATACTCTATTCTACAGTTATGTTCATTTCAATAAAAAGATCACAAAACTCCGCTGTCCACCACTGATCATTTACCGTTCTACGAACTGATGAATACCCATGGAGTACAATGAAACATGAATGTTTTCCCACCGCGATAAACGAACGAGAACTTGCAAAGGAAAACATACAAAAATCATCTTCAATATTTCAGAAAGAAAGAGTCGACTTTGTTCCTCACATTCAAATCACAAAATCTGATGGTATCAATAATGTTGCATTCTTGATTTCAATTACTAAAATCTCATTTCATTTGAACGCGTGTGTGAATCTGTAATTCTCACTCAGCTCAATAGCTATAATGGGATTCCACGGACAGCTATAAAAATGGGTTCTTTTAGTAAAACCGCATAACGTCTGACGTATGATTCAATTTCAGTCATTCTTTTGTTTTCAGATGAGTGAAAGAACATGCTCCTTTTAAGATATACTTCATTGGTGTATCAAATGTGATTGTAGTTTAAGAAAAAAACCTTTCATCCGGGTCACTTTTTTTTTCACTCGCCCAGGCAGAAGGAGATGATAGAAACAGGAAGACTGTCATTCCAGAATCACTAAAAAAAGGGCGTGTTTTCATCCTGACTGCCCCGCTTTTTTCCCCTGCTGGACATTGGTTCTCCATTATCCCCAGGGTCCGGAGGTTGGTCGCTGTGCTGGTCGTCATGCTGTATCTCGGCATCCTTGACATAGATGTAGCCCCTCGCGATGAACAAGAAACAGCCGAAGTCAATGGCCATGATCACAGCCAAGACGAGGAAGAAGAACTCAAGGTGACCGTAGTTGACTTCATCTGGAATCCACTCCCCACTACCTGCATCCAATTAAAAGTAGCGTCCATCATTTGCAATTTGTGCATAATTATGTTCGTTTGAAGCAACAATAAAGTGCTCAAAATCTGTAAAGAAGGTTACAGGCCATATGCTGAACAAATTAATCGATGAAGTTTAAGCTCAGCGAATGCTGTATATTCCGAGAAAACAATATTGTAGTATCAGGATTTCAAATCAAAAGTTGCTGAGTCATGTTTTGAATTGGGCCTGAATTCAGCGTCAGAGACACATACGTTCTGACTGAGCCGATTGCAGCTACCATGAAATCCAGTGCCTTTTACTGTTGTATTGGTTAAAGCTACAGTCCATCATTTGCAGCTATCCAAAAAGTTACTGGCGTAATTATTGTTGAAAAACCTACTTTAATGGTTGAAAGATAGTAAGGGGACTAAACTCCCTGTGAAATTATTCTCTCTGGCAAGCTGTTTTGAAGAAATCAACAAAAGAAGGCCTTTCTAAAGACGCATCGTTGGAAATTGCCATTAGTAGTTCGTTTTTCTATTCGGCGAAGTGCGCGCAAGTGTTGACATGACGCACATGGGCCCGCAGTTGCTATAAATCATCGGATCAGCGCGACATCGCGTAGCTGTAAGTTGCATCTGCGTGCCAACGCCGACGCAGTACACATGGCGCATGCGCCAACCTCCATTTATCAAAAAAAATAAAGTAAAGTTAATTGTTGATAAAAATTGGTTGGAAATTTTTTATTTTTGACTTGTTGTGACTTTTGGATCGAAAAGTTTTGATTTTTTGACCGAAAAGGTTTTTATGAATGCTAATAATAAGGTGTTTCACTGAAATATGCGCCTTCTTGCCCATGGACGAACAAGATGGCGCATATAACCGTGAAACACCTTATTACCCTTGGCTTCGCCTCGAGTAATTATCAGCATTCCAGACTCCGAACAGTCTTAAGCAAAGTGTTTATAAACCTCCCAAGCACACATTCATTCACTTAGGAGAGACCTGACATATATTCCTGATGCTGTCTCTAGCTGGATTCGTACCTAATCATTGCATGATACTATTTAGTGTGGTTAGTAGGACTAGAAGTGTGCAACTACTTTGTTATCAAGAATTACCCAACTTACTTGAGGTAATTGCATTGACGACAATGACCAGCAGAGAACCAATGTAGCTACCAAGGCCTGTTGTTACCAGGAATAGCCCCATGACCACTCCTTGCATTGATTTGGGAGACTGAGAGTACGCAAACTCTAGGCCTGCAAAGAGAAAAACAGAACTTCACAAATAAAATTAATAAAATATTGGGAAAAAAAATACCTTCTTCGGGATATTGTCCAAAACAGACCCGGCCTACACTATCAATCGGAAAGTGTAAATTGACCAATCAGTTCGCGTGTTTTTTGTCAGGTGACCACATACAGCAGCTATGTGGAACTTGGTCAGAAGAATGTGAGAAACCTTGGTGGCATGGGGTTTGAACAATTTTGGATTCTAGACGCTCTGTGATGCGATCTGAGGCAACTTCTGACCACTTTAACCAATTTTTTTTTGTGGTTTCTTTGTTCTCTCATCCACCCTCCCCTGCATCTTTCCACACCTTTCCCACCTAATCCTCCTTTTGTGTTTCTTCTTTCAGCCCTGCATGTTTGTGTGCACCCCCATGTATGTATGTACCTCTGTCATTTCTGTTTTAGCCTCTGAAGAAGAACTTGCTAAGTTCGCAACGTCAGGCCACATTAATTTTTAATTTTTTTTTTACACAAAAGATCATATTTGAATATAATTTTGAGTTTGGAGTCATTGAAACAACTATTCTGAGCTACAGCATCAAATATAGGCCACAATTTCTATTTTGAGACGAAAAACGTGGGGGTGGGACAAACGTTACGATATCCCGGCACTTTAAATATGGGGGGGGGGGAGAGGCGTGTCCAACTTTCTTAAGAATCAGGCAGCATCTTTCAAAATTGTTAAAGGTATAAAAAAAAATAGCTACCTGTAATACTTGTGAAAATCTCACTGGCTCCAATAAAAGCGTATTGAGGAACCTGTGCAAAGACGGACAAGTCCGAGGCATTGAAGGTCTGGCCAGCAACTACCTGCGGGAAGTAGCCATACTCGTTGATGTTTGCTTTCCGGCCAAATTCAACTCCAGCTGCCAAGATCATGGAAAAGACAGCTAGTACCATGCCGATACCTGATAAAAATGGAGACAAAAGAAGGTGAAATTCAGCATTCTACAATCCTTTTGCCCTACTTTGGAGTTAGGTTGGCGTTCAGTGGACTTCTCAGACAATAAAGATAAAGGATTTAAATATGCTAAAACTGGAATGTGCTACACATTTCAGTTTTGACTGACACGAGACATTTTTATGACAAATTTTATCCTGAAAATGAATAAAACTGTGGCAAACTGTTTGCTGATTGGATAAACCTGAAATATATAAAACAAACAAAACGATGAGGCGCGTCCTAACATTTTGGTCCTAACAGAATCCTTGCTTTCAAACAAAATAAGACTTAAATAACATTTTTATCGGGAATTTTTCAAAGCGTATTGGCCCGATTTCCTATTGTATGCCTGGCTGAACACTGTTTCACCTGTCAAAAAGCTATAGAATATTCAGTTCATGCTCAAATGTTTGAGTATATTCGGAACAGCTTGAAAAAACAACAACAAGCATACAGACAAAACACAAATAAACAAAAAAAAACCACAAAAACAAGAGACAAACAACGGAAGCAAAGACAAAGAGGAGACAAACGCACAAAACGATATTGTAACACAAACTTATTGGGCTCTTGTCCTCCGCATCCGGCAAAACGCAAGAAAAGGGGACAATTAACCTCTTATTTATTCAGCTTAAGAACTCTGTGGTCAACCTGCCACACTGCTACCAGTACCACACCTGATCATTCCCAGCATAGAAAACACACAGTCTGAACAAATGTATACAATTGTAACAACATGTAATGACCCCGGCATCTTGCCAAACCTTTCCCGCAGACAAAAGAAACCCACTTAAGCAACCTATGTATGGAGCCCATTTCCGGAGTGCGCGCCAGCCAGACCCAAAAAACAGGTCGGGTGCGCGCCACCGGAGCCCCTCCGCCTGAGCCCTAGCAAAAGAAAGCAACGACAGCAAAAGTGCTGCATAAACTGTCCGTTGCGCTTATGCATGAGGAAAAAATAGGCTCGTTGTAACAGAATGAGGAGATACAACTCACCTATTCGCTTCAGTTTTGAGAGAGGATATCCAATTCTTTCCATGAATGGGTAGAGCAGACGGTCAACAAACGGAATCATCACAAGAATGATTGCGGCATTGAAGAGGCTTAGCGCAGCCACGGGTATGGTGAAATCGCCGTAGACCAGACGCATACGCTCCCCTTGCAGCAAATAGGTGGTTGACATCTGGAAGCAATACAACACAATTATTACTAGATGAAATACAATAATGAATGTGTATGAGTGCAAAAGGTAGGAATAATTTCATGAGGCATGTTCAATTCGCTGTTCAAATCTGACGATTATTAACACTATATCACAGAATAGTGTACATATAGCCCCTAACCAAGCTGGATCTGTCCGTATTTTGTGCAAAGGCAGACATTATTGCCAGTAAAACAATTGTGGGTGTCAGAGCAGGGGCGGGGGGGGGGGGGAGGTTTGGGGTTCACAAGTTTTGTTTTCATGAATTTCTATGGAAAAAAAAAACCAGCTGTTTTTTTTTTTTTACTCCCCCCCACCCCCCTCCCTCTGGATCCGCGCCTGAATATAGAACACGGGCAGCTAGGATGTGGGTTGGCACCAATAATTCAATGACATGATCAACAACCTAATGTACTGCAATCAGATGATTATGTGTTGTATTATTCAAAATGACACGATGTTGCATACATTAATTGATGAACAAAAGTTACCGCGTTATCAGTATACATTGTATTTTCAGCTAATTAACTCTTCTAAAAAGATTAATTCAACAAATCCAGTCTTGGAAACTTTGACACTTATAAGACCCAATCATTCTTGGGCAACCCTCACGCACACCTTAAACAAGGACTTGAAATCAAATCGGTAAGTCGCCGATTAGTCCGCCTGCCCCGCCGTGATTACCGGCGTTGACTACCGCATGCCGTCCCAGGGTTACGTGAAGCACACGGTATGACAACACGCAGAAACGATTCCTGCATCCTCGGCCCTATGCGTGTACGTTGCTTCCAATTACAGTTAGGCCTGTCGGATGCCGGATGTAAACATGATATAGGACGCCAGCTAGTACGTTGCTAGCAAATATTGGGGGCCTCGTCAGACAAAACGCGACTATCTAATGAGTTATTTGCAAGTCTAGGCTCATTAACTCAACTGATTCAGCCTTCATCTGGGTCTGGAAAGTCAGCACTCATGTCACACTCATGTAGTAGCAGGGTCACACTCAGTTAGTAGCAGGGTTGCCAGCTCTGTGGGCTCCACTCCATAGACTCCCATGCAGAGCAGCTGCGCCGGCTCCACTCCATTGACTCGTATGCGGAGCAACTCCATCAGCTCTGCTCCACAGACTCCCGTGTGGAGCAACTAGGTCGGCTTCACCGGCTCCGCTCCATTGACTTGTATGCGGAGCAACTCCATCAGCTCTGCTCCACAGACTCCCGTGCGGAGCAACTAGGTCGGCTTCACCGGCTCCGCTCCATAGACTCCCATGTGGAGCAACTGCGCCATCTTTGCCCGAAGTCTCAGAGCGGAGCAACTCCATCGGTTCCATTGGCTCCGCTCCATAGACTCCCATGCGGAGCAACTGTGCTGGCCCCACCCCAATTAAGTCTCCTGTGCGGAGCAACTCCATTGGCTCAAACGGCTCAGCTCCATAGACTCCCATGCTGAGCAACTGTACAAGCTCTGCTCAATTGACTCGTGCGGTGGAGAGCCGATCCACAGGGGAACATGTATCCGGTGTATGGATGTGAGCGGAACGGAGCTATTCCGGAAGGAAGCATGCGTCCGTCATATAAATGTTTGTGTTATGGGGCTGATCAGGCAGAAAATATGCAGCCGGTGTATGGATCTGTGAGGAACGGAGCTGTTCCGGAAGGGAACGTGCGTCCGTCTTATGGGTTATGGGGCCGATCGTGGGCCCTGGCACCAGGTATTGGTGTAGAAGACATGGATGTCTCCAGACGAAGCCACACCCCTGCTGCATCGACAGGCATAACTTGGCAGTGTTCCAAATGGAGCGGAGCGGAGCGTCAGTTGCAAGGCCGTGTACAGCGTGGGACGATACCCCGTGGGACCTGGTACTAGGCATACTGGCAAAATCATCCTGTGGCATCCCAAAACAAAGCCCTGCCCCTGCTGCATTGACAGGCACAGCCTGACAACTTTCCATGTGGAACAAAGCATCTGCCATGTCGCCATGTAGAGCGCGAGGCAGTTCCCGTGGGACTTAGCATGTACTAGGCCCTGGCTCCTTGAAACCCTGAACAATTCCAACGTACTCTGAGTCATCTAACGAGATGAGCATTTTGCTGGCCAGTCGGATGCCAACCTATTCGACCTGGTGTATTCATAGCGAAAAACATTGAAATTCTACTTCCTCCGTCAGACATCTCACCGCTGCCACCAATGTAATTTCGACCGGATCCTGGGTTTTCACACGCCCGACGAAGGAAACAACTCACAAGTCACAACAGAACGCGTTATACCAAATGTCACACTACAGTGAGTCGGCACAGTCTGCAATGGGTCTCCCTGACCATGCAGCAGGGGTCCCAATGCTACGGCTGCACCGTGGGTCCGTGCTGGCACCCTCTGCCAGCAGCCCGGCACAGTCAACGTTACACTATATTGCACAACTACAATCAACTACGACCACGATCAGATTGCTATTGCGCTACGTAAACTGCAAGACGCAGTGCTAACCAAATGAGTATTTCTCAATTAAGTAAAGACTATGGAGTTGATTCAACTTGTTAACAGCACTCTCTGCAGCAGCTCAACCGAGCTTGCCAGGCATGCAGGACCGCGACTGCATCAAGGAACAAAAAATCAGTCTTGAAGCAAGACTCACTCACCTGGTTGTAGACAGTCCAGTAGAAGACGATGACGATAAAAACTGGTATAATTCTTCCCAAGGACCTGACTTCGTCCACTTTGAAGTCTGGGAAGTGACCACCAAAGCTCTGCTTGGCGCGATCCAGCCAGGTTGTCATCTCACATTTCCTGGCGTTGGGCTGCCTGATTCGTGACAGAGCCTCCCAGATGATTTTAGCGACAGTTGTGAACACGCTCCCTAATGGCCAATAAAAAAAAAAAACTCAAAAATTTAACGCCGCATTCGCAATTAAAAAAAGAAAAAATGTTACCACTTGTTATTAAAATTCCATTGTGGTTATTCTCGTGGTGGGATAAACGGATTTGGTTTGAGTTCCACTTTTCGCAGTTTTGATTTTGGAAACCGGATATTAAAAAAAATAAACGTGTGCTCACCTTGGGGCGGTTTCATACGATACCACCTTTTGCCAATCATAAGCATGGAGATCGCCACGACGATGGAGACTGCTGGGATAGCATATCCCACATCGAATCCGATCTGCTGCTGTACATAGACCACAGCAGAGAAGGCGATGGCAGAACCCACGTTGATGAACCAGTAGAACCTTCACATGAAAAAGTCCAAAATTATACTTTACAAAAACCTGGAGAATCGAAAATTCGATTTTGAGTTTGGCTGGCCATTTTATTACATTTGACACAAAGAACAATTTGACCATGATCTTACCAATTGAAGAAAGATTTGACTGGACCCTCTCCAAGATCATCCAACTGTTGAGCTCCGAACGGGCCCACGTTGGATTTGATGCCGCCTGTACCGATGGCAATGACGGCTAGACTGAACATGAAGAAGCCTCGCTGTTGGCCCACGGTCAGCCCTAGGTGGGGGCCATAATGGGTAAAATCTATGGAGATGATGGGCAACATGGTCGTGCCTTGATCAAAGAAATAGAGAAAGATAAAACAACAACAACATTGAGAATGTAAAAGTTACTCTCGCAATGTCACAGGGTGCAAAACACAACAAATAAAACTCAAAGCTTCCTTTTTTTACAGCTTTGAAAAAATAAAAAAGTTTGAGGAGTTAGTTCATTAGCATTTCAACGATGAAAAATACCTTTCCAATTGGGCAAATATTTATTGAGTTATAAACTTATTGGCAATTAAAAATAAGCACCGATTTTGGAAGTAATGGTAGTCCAGAATTGGGCTGTTTGGTTAACTTCTTAGATGTTTACTGTGCTGCTCTGTGTCTGCCCTCTACTTGGTAGCCTTTTTCACGGAATGCAAGTTTCGGCGTATTGTTGCGGCAGTCAAAATATCAGTCGCCGTAGACAAAATGAAAAAGCGGCGCTTATTTTCAATTGGCCATAACTCAATAAATATTTACCCGATTAGCAAGAGTTTTTCGTTGTTGAAAGCTAATAAATGTTACTCTCTAAATATGTATCCATATTTGCGATGTTTTTAAAAGCTGTGTAAAAGAGAGCGTTTTAAGGGTTCAATATCTTTTAGACACCCTGTATTTCTAAAATTCAATCTCAACTATATGATTTTTTCAAATTGTTATATTTCTTACAATACGAAAAGAAATTCACTTTTGAATGAGACATTGAAAGAAAAAGTCTGCATACGGTTTTGGGAATATAGATTTTTATAAAGTGTAGATTTTGTTTTGTGAAATTCCTATTTTTCTAACAATACAAAAGTTATTCACTTTTGAATGTACTGTAGGCTAATGTGTGCTGTAAGTTTAAAGGGAAAATACAACATTTGCAAACATCAAAAAATAAAACTACCAAATCATTTTGAAATACCTTGCTGGACTGTTAGTGAATGACAGTGTAAAGCATCCTGTAAAATCATGGCACCTGGTATACTGTCATTTACAAGAAAAGTGGTATTTTTGTATCAATTTCCAACGCTGGTCGGCCGACCAGCGTTGGAAAAAACTGGCTTTTTTTCAAATACTGGCCCCAATTGACCATCGCACTTGTTTGCAATCGATTACACACCTATGAATGGGTACAAGCCAGCTAGACTGGTTCCCTGACCTTACAATTCCCCAATGTATGTAAACTGCTCTGTTTCTTCTTATATGGAGTCAGGGAACCAGACTACAGGAAAATGATTGTTTTTCTTGGTTTTTATAGCATTTTCGAACCCAAAACCTCAAAAAAGTCAGTGTAACTATATTTGCTATATATTTCCAACCCCCAATTCCATCCATTTCTGAAAATTACAGCAAAAGCAAATGATGTATATATTCCCTTTAAGTAATGGATATGCATTGCATGGATTTGGGGTACGTATTTTATGGAAAATATTGTTTTACTGGCAGACCTATTTAATGTTTTGTGTTCATAAAGGCTGAAAAAGCCAAAAACAAAAATGCTGTTCTTGCAGTCTGGTTCCCTGACCCTACTTCAGATGTCGGGGAATTGTCAGCTTAGGGAGCCAGAATTTAGCTGGCTTCCACCCGTTCAGGGATGTGTAACCGTTTGTAAACGAAATGTCACCAAAAAAGAAAAGAAAAATTCCAACGATGGTCGACCAACCATCATTGGAATACAAAAAATCCACTTTTATTGCAACCAGGTGCCGTGGTTTCACAGGATGCTTAAGATTAGGCCCACAAAAATTAAAATTCTGCTTCCGTTTACCCTACCTACCCTATTTTTTTTACAGCCCCTAGGCCTACCCTAATTTTTTTTTTGGAGGGGGAGCTGGGGGGAAATGAGGAAAAAAACTCAAAAACCATCAATTACTCCCTTTTACCATTTACTACACGCAGACACCTCCAAATGATCGTACAAAAAAGTGCCCAAAAAATGTCCCTACCTACATGTACCCTATTTTCAAATGCCATGTAATCGGAAGCAGACCTATTTTTGGCCCTATTATTCTGCACATTACAGTCAAGTAAGGTAATTTGGCAGTTTTTTATGTTGGCAAATGTTGTAAATTACTTTCAAGAGATTTATTAAAAAACACCCAAAATAAAACCTTTTTATCAGGTGGCGGACGCTGATAATAAATGTAATAGGAAGTGTTTTTAATAAAACATGAATTGTGAAAATTTGTTAGTGGCGAAAAAAAGTCATTTGTTGAAGAGCATGTGGACAGAAACTTCAAACAAATTCCTTTGTCCAACTAAAGGTTTTTTCAACAGGGTGAGTAAAAAAAAAAAAAAAAGGAACCCAAATGGCCCCCCCCCCCAAAAAGTCTCCGGTTTCTGGTATGGAGCTTGCCCCAAAAGTGGTGCGGCGACGCGGCTTTTTTTTTTTTTTTACCTGATTTTTTTGCTTCAAATGTCGGCTAATGACCGCAAATGGTGCCCGACTAAACTTAGTACAAATAGGCCTATATGGGATTGGGAGTCCAGAGAGGCCACATAAAGCTTATTCTCGACCATAACCCCAACCTAAAAACACGTTAAAATTGTGCAGCAGCAGAATTCCAGTCAAACCAGTGAGTTTGGCGGTTTTGAGACATCATCTTTCATTGAAAAAAAAACTTTTTCATTTTGCCGACGCGCATGGCTACGGCGCCGCACGCGCATACCAGAAACCGGAGACTTTTTTTTTGGCCCAAATGCCAGGACCATTTTTTTACATGAAGTTCTGCATACAGAACATTCAAAATCTAGGATATAAAAGCCCAATTAATAAGCTTTCTTTTAGTACAAGAATCATTCAAATCACTCATGCACTTTTCAAGTTACGGAATTTTAAACAAACACCTTTTGAACTTTCTGTCCACCGATCACCAAAAAGCAAGTGTTCTTTCAGCAAAACAAAAAACAATTCACACTATGTAAATTGTTTTCATTTTGCTGAAAGAACACTAACGGTTTTTGTGATCCATGGACTGAATTTTAAACCAGTGTTTTTGTTCAAATTCTGTAACTTAAAAAGTACATGAGTGATTTGAATTATTCTTGTACTGAAGGAAAGCTTATGAATTGGGCTTTCATATCCTAGATTTTGGAAGTGCTACATGCAGAACTTTATAAAAAAAAAAGATGGTCCTGACATTTTGGTTTCCCTTATTTTTTGACTCACCCAGTAGAGTTGTGCTTGTGGCACAACTCCCTCCCCAAAAAAATTAAGGCTGTGTTGAATTTGCAGAATATTGGAATATATGATCATCAACCAAATATCCCCCCCAAAAACTTTGAGCTCCTTTTTTTAAATTCAAGTATTTAACCCCAAAAAATGAGCAGTCTCGATTAGCATGGGCGTCGCCAGGATTTTTTCTAGAGGGGGGCAAAAATGTATTTTGCCAAAAAATGCTTGTATTTCTCAACACATTCTCGATTTATCAGTTTTAGAGGGGGGGGGAGGGACATTTTGCCCCCCCCCCCCACACTCATTAAATTTACACCACTTTGTCTTCGCGCTTCTTTTTCTTTTCTTTTTTTTCCTTTTTTTCCCTTCCTTTTTTTTTTTTTTTGCTTTTCCGGGGGGGGGGGGGAAGTGCACCCCTTGCCCCCCCCCTCGCAACGCCCATGTCGATGAGATGATGTGGTTTCATACTGTTTGTGAAATGCCAAACTTTTGTTAAATGCCACTTTCGCACATGATTTGACAGCGTCCATGAGGACTAAGCCTATATTTTAGCTCAAATTTCTTCTTAAGATTGGTCATTCTGCTACCTGTTCTTTACATTATTTTTAGATGCATGTTCATGGGCGTGTAGCCTTTAGTCAAGGCCCGCGTGTCTATATACATGTATACCCGAACGTGTGGCCGGTGCCCCGGATGGCACGAAACAAGACTGGTCTTTTTTGTGCCAGAATCCGGGGCGCCAAGCATCTGGGTAGACACACGCGCCTTGACTAAAGGCTAATATGCGTGTGAATCCAGATCGGTGGCCAGTTTAGGCTTAATTCGCATGTTTAAGGGGTCCATGCAATGTAATTTTTTTAATGTAGTTCTTGCAAATACAAATTTTTAACCTTATTTTCACTTTTCATTTTGCCATTTTCCAGGGTATTTTGGTGCCTTTTTGGTTTTTATGCTGATGCAATTTTCATATTCATGAGAAAAAGTGTGACGTCATTTCAGGCACAAGCATTTATGTCACATCTATTTCAGCACAAAAAGTTACCGGAATTTTGGATATTATTTGCTGTTGTAAATTTTCTTTTCCTTGGTGATCTGTTGTGTCAGCACACGGCAGTAAGCCAATGAGCAAATTTTGTCACAAATATAATTTCTATGAGCAGATTTTTTTGGTTCACATTTGAACAGAAAACCCCATAACTGAACGGTGTCTTTCTAAAATGACATCCCAGTTTCCGGAAAAGCCTCTGAATAAAATTAACCAAAAAGGGATGTCAAATAATTTCCATACATTTAATTTGAGTAGAAAGTTGCACAAAATGTGTTCCTTAGAAAAATTCATCGCATGGACAACTTAACTCAATCAGTCATTTTCAATTCAATTATTCAAATATTATTCAACAAGTCCTAGTTGGAAAAATCAGATAATAACTGAAATTTGGAAATTCACAGCCTAATTGCTAATACGTCACCTTGTCATGGTCGTTTGTAATGACAATAAATGAGGGAAAACAAATTCGAACTGATACCTATGCAATAAATGAGGGCAGCTCCGAGGATAGCATTGTATTTTCCCGACACGGTGTCAGCAATCCACCCACCGATGACCGGCACAAAATAAGACGTTCCTGTGAAGATGAAGGTAACGGTGGTCGCGTCGGCACTCGTGAATTTCAGCTCGTTGGTGCAGTAGAGCACCAGGTTTCCAGCAATGCTGTAGTAGGTCATCCGCTCGCACAACTCACAGACCAATATACACAGCACCACGCCGAGACGGTCGCGCTGGATGCCGAACAACTTTCTCCCTTGGGCTGGGGAATCTGTCTCTGCCCTTGATGTCATCTCGTCCGGTATGCTGCCATTCTTCACTGGAGTTTTCAAACTCTCGTCAATTTCATCGTAAGCGTTCGACATTTTGGTGCAGCCAGAAAAAAAACTCAGTCAAGACAACATCTGTGAAGAACCATGGAGGAAGAACTGAACAGCAAATCTGTCAAAAAGAAAGAAACAAACCAAATGTAAATTAGTTTCAAAGTCACTCCAACATGTTTAAATTGGGCTTCAAATCACTCCAACATGTTTAAATTGGGCTTTAAAAATCCTTTGGTCTTCGCAGCTTGCAAATAATTTCTAAGACCCGGTTTTCCAAACTCCACTCTGACAGCACAACTTTCACTCTTTCAAACTTTCACAGGAATTTTTGGGGAAAATCAAGCAACATACATGGTTTTGTCTAGTAAAACAAAGGCAAAGAAATCGGAGGAACTTTTGAACAGCACTCACATATTGTATCAATCCATCAAAAAAGGAACCAGCAAAAAAAAAACGCCCTACCATAAATAAAATGAACTTTAGACAAAAATTAGCAGTGACCCGTATGTACGCAAACACTTCAGGAGAGAAAAATACAACAAATGTCAACAAAACAGCAGTTGGAAGATGTAGAGATTGAGTGTAAACATGATAAACAAGATTGCATGACAATCGACTGCATCATGTGATATAAGCTGGAGTCACGAGATGACCACAAAATATTACGAGAGTAATCAATTCCCAAAACCACAAGCATGAGAGCTTGAAAACAAATAGGCTACCATTTCAGTCCAATCAGTACACTCTGCTCTGAGGAAACAAGGCATTAAATGTGCACAAGCGGCCAGTTTAAAGTTTAAATCTAAAAAATTTATTCACTTTGGAATGAGACCTGGACCCTTAAACAAATAATCGGCCCACATTTTTAAGTTTAGTTAATTAATACTTGACAAATTTTCAAATTATTGGCTGCCAGACAGTAGGCTGGTTCCCGCCCCACAATCAGTATCAGTAATGTACAGGATGTACGGTAGTCAGTTTGGTTGCAAAGCAATTAAAATTTTTGCCAAAAAAAAAATTGTTTTCAGAGCGTTGCGCAGACTTCTAAAACAGAAAAAATGGTTATTTTGGTTGCAATGAAACACAAAAAAAATAGTGGGGATCGACTGTTTAACTTTCCTCTCCTCTATTGTATGAAAACTATGATACATCTCTTTTTTGGTTGATTTTATTGAAAAATGCACTTCTTTAAACATTTAAAAATTGTCCATGCTTTTCTGGGCATCTGAGGGCACTGTTGCTAGTGATGTCATTTCAGGAAGCCATGCCATTCAGTTAGGGGTTTCCTGTGCAAAAAGCCCCAAATTTGCTCACTGAAACATCTGTGAGAAAAGTTTGCTCGTTGGTTTTACTGCCACGTAATGACACAACAACGAATCACCACAAAAAAAGGGAATTTACGACAATAAAATATCCATTTTGGCAACTTTTGGTGCTGAAATAACTGTAACACGAAGGTTCCTGCCTGAAATGACATCACACTTTTGCTCATATTTTGGCATTGGCATAAAAACCGAAAAGGCACCAAGTAAAAATACCCATAAAAATGGCAAAACAAAAAATAAGGTTAAATGGGACAAAAAGTTGCATTTACAAGGATTACAATACAAAAATTCATTACATGGGCCCTTTACTCGTAATATCATCCAGTTAGTAAAGAATTTGCAGCAGCCAAGATAATAAACTTAAAATTTACACACAAAACTATCGGTACAGTTTCAAAATTCATATCCAATTTACACAACACTCACCTTTAAATATTGCAACAACAAAAAAATGAAAATCAGTACTCACATTATTTCAGCACATAAATTACAACAAATAGTAATCTACGGGCCCGAATGCAGGATTTTTATTGTGATGACAAGAAGTGCGTCAAAATGGGGACTAATTGATATAATTTTGGGGGTGTTGAGCTACAAGCAATGAAACCCCACTGATAATTTGCTGATCTAAAACCTAAAACAGAAAATTGTTTATTTGATTAATATTATCACGCCACTTCTTCTGCTGTGTGAGTCTATGCAGAGTCGATTGCATTTTCAAATTATTTTGTAACAAAATTGGAAATGTTTCTCAGTCCCAAATTCATTCATGTCCTTTTAACATTTTAGTTGCAATGACTAAGTTCGTTGAGGCGATGAAAAAAGTGGTGTCATGATGCAACATTCTTAAATTTCCTGATGACACACGAATCACGAGGGACAAACATAATATATGTTCAAGGTAAAATGAAAAACCGGACGACACTTAAATTCAATATATTTTTTGAGTCATTTGGAAATCCCAGTCTCGGGATCCTTGGTATTTCCATTGAGCAAAATTTACAAATTAAAGTTCGGGCTAGCTTGGGAAGTCCCAGAAATTCTTTTGGAATTTCCCAAATGAGCAGTAAAGGATTGGGGTTCGGGGTTTTCCAAAATAGAGTGAACATGATCATCAGCCGGGAACCGTACTGACACTGGCAGAGACAATTTGCACTTGCCACTGTATAAGTTTTGGGGGCCCGGGCCAATGTTAGGTAACTTCAGCTGACATGCTCATCAGGAATTCGACATCGCGACATGTACCGTAACGAATTCCTGATGAGCATGTCAGCTGGAGTTATTTACCGGGTATTCTAGCACTGCAGTGCAGTCATATTATAGCAGTGTAGTGAAGTCAATCTGGCCGCGCGTATAAACTGTGCTAGGCCGGCCGGGGGAAGCAGATCATGCTCAGATCGCGCGCCAGAGGCGTCAGACAACGAGCAATAACAATGCAGTAAAATACTCCTAAATTATGTATGAAAAACAATGTAGGTCTATGTAAAGTATAACAGACTTTACCTGAAAATACAGCTGGCATAGACTGGCAGTGGCACATGGCCTGTCGATGCGGACGAGTACACGTGTTAATGTCATCGCCAAAATACATTTGCATCATGTGACGAATCATGTGATGACGAGTACCAAAAGTTTAGACCAATAATGGCCGAGGTCGAACTCACGCATACTCTCACCCTCATGACCCTATTCTTAGTTTGGGCACGGAGCTATTATAGCTTCATGGTTTGGGCACCTCCGACGGGACGACAAGGGATCTTAGGGGACTCTCGGTAAAAATTACTATCGAGTAATTTAATTCCAGCCCCAAGGAGGTTGCCCTCCCCTTCTATTCGCTCTCCTCCCCCTCTTTTTCCCCTTTCTCCCCCCCCCCCCCCCTTTCACTCAATTTGACGGGGGCACGTGCCCCCGCGGCCCACCCCTGGATCCGCGCATGTTTTGTGCATTTAAAATGAAATAATCAGGAACACCTGTTAGGGGGGGGGGGGGGGCATTCCTGGCCTTTAGGAAATAGGGGGGGGGGGGTATATAAGAAAGGGGGTGGGTGGGGTTTGATATGAAAGGGGGGCTGAAATGAAGGCTTGCTGCTGGACCCTGCTTTCTCCTGCATTAAAAGGCAATTTGAGTACAAATTAACAATCCGTTTATTACTTTTTGTCCCATTTTACTAGCATCATAACATTAGTCAGCGGCTGGACGGGGGGGGGGGGGTTGTTTGAAAACATCCGCCACTGACCTGCAACACAAGGTCAATCCCTTCCCTCAATACTTAGAACAAAATAACTTTTATATATAAAGGGTAAATTCATTTGTGCCAAAAAGATCAATGTTGGATGCTGACTTTCGACATGATAGTAGTACTTACTACTACACGTGGATGTCGTCCTTATTTTCTTCCTTGCGGATGTGCCGTTTTTTTCGAGGGGTATAGAATTTTATAGAGGTGGTGGGGGCTATTTTTTGGCAACGATCGTTTATGGTTTAATTAGTTGTTAAAAATAACATTTTCTGCTGCAGATTTCTTTATTGATATTTTATTAAGGTAAAAATTCTCAATGGTTACTCAAATGGGCGGGATGAACTTTTTGATGTAAAAGAAAATCTTCTTCAGTCTTTCCTTTTCCACTTTTCCCTCAATTTTATGATTTTCTTTCAGTAAACTTCAAGCAATACACTGCATGTTATTTGTTGAGAGAGAAATAAAGTCAACATGTTAGATTTACAATAAATCACATCACCACAACACAACTATTATAGACACACAGTAAACACTGTCAGTTGAACCTCGATTATTTTATTCAAAAGTTAATATAAAATTGTACCATTAACAAATAAATCTCTGCTAAATTTCCCAGTGAAAATGATATCAGCCTCATGATACCGAATGTGTCAACTGATTAGTACTGTTATTTAATGGAAAAATTACTTCAGTTAGACCAAAAGGTTAATTTTACATAATGTGTCTTGGATGCATATACAGATATTCACATTCAACCATTTTTCTGACCGGTAACTTTCTTAGTATATTACAAAACAATAACAAAAAAGTACAGATTTACATAAAGATGGTTCAGAAAGGAATCAGTAAATAAATATTTTTACAAAAATACATTTTTAGTATTTTAGTATTTTATACTTTTTTGAAAATTTCATCATACATGCTCATGTAAAATATAACAATGAGTTTTATCATAGTTTGCGTTGTATTTCGAAAAGTAATAACATTCACAATTTCATATTGCATAGTACTTTTCCAGAGGATCAAAGTCCTTTTCAAGCATTGTTTGTTGTTCCCATACAGGGTGAGTAAAAAAAAACCAACAATGTTGTAGTGAAGTTCTGCAAGAGCACTTTCAAAATCTAGGATATGAAAGCCCAATTCATAAGCTTTCTTTTAGTACAAGAATCATTCAAATCATTCATGTAATTTTCAAGTGACGGAATTTTAAACGCAACCACCGTTTTAAAGTTCTGTCCACGGATCACAAAAAGGTAAGAGTTCTTTCAGCAAAACGAAAACAAATCACATAAGGATGTGTGTGAATTGTTTTCATATCGCTGAAAGAACGCAAACTTTTTTTGTGATCCGTGGACAGAAGGGGTCCGCTCATAAGTCCGACGCCTCATCAGTCCGACAAAATCGCATACCCTAACCAAATAATGGCCCATATGTCCGACGCCTCATAGGTCCGACGCCTCATAAGTCCGACACCTCATAGCTCCGACGCCTCGTAAGTCCGACAAATTAA